CTAGTTCCACGTATCAAAAGAAGAAAAACTGCCCATATCAACATGTCGCCAGAAACATTTAATTTGTGAGTTACAGTGAAAGAGTACTGTACATGCATGATAGTGCTGCAGCTGTGCTGATATGTACGAGTACTCAATAACGCCTATCACGACCGATGGATGATAGGTAGACGAGGACCCACTGCCTGGCCTCTACGCTTGCTAGATTTGAATCATCTCAGTTTTTACCAGTGGGGACACCTAAAAACCATTGTGTATGCAGCTCATGTTGACAGTGAAAAAGCATTTCGCCATCGCATTTTGGATGCCTGTCAAGCCATCCGCATGTACCTCAACATCTTTGAACGGATGCCGCGGAGCAAGATGGGACGTGTCGAGGCGTGCGCTGAATCTCATGGAAGACATTTGAGCACTTAACTATAAATGTACTCTTTCGGCAGTAGCACATAAGTTAAATGTTTCTGGACACGTGTTGATATGGACATTTTTGTTGTTTTAATATGTGGAACTCGTGCCCAAAGTTTTATGCGCCTTTCAGTTACATCCTTTGTAGTTACTCATGAAGTGGATCTACTTTGTTGTCCTTGTTGATAACCACATTTTTAAAGCCCCGGCTAAATAGTAGATGAATCATGAATTTGTTGTGAATAGATTTTCTTGGAACTAGTGGATTTACTCTACATCTTTTATTCGTGTCATGAGTCATAGACACGTTCCAGAAAATACAAATATATCAGATTGTTATATTTTGTAAGTATATTGCCGCGTGATTGAGTGACTATAAACGAGGTTTGGATATGTAACTGGATTTATTGAATACTTACAGATCGTAACCATAAGTAACTTTAGCGCTGTCGCTGATTCACACACTCGGCAATTCATTACAGCACGCGTTAAACCTTCTCAGTCTGCTGTATCTTCACCGGTTGTCATCTGTTCTCAGCTTTCGTGTTCGCGTCTTTACTGGCCGGCGACCAACTCATACCAACCTACTGCTTTTCTGGTTGACTAACTCAACTTTCTCGCAGTTTCAGCTGCTCCACATTATATACCCTCGGCACGTACCTCATAGAAAACAGTCAGTCAGAGTTACTTTACGACTGAAAGCGGCCTCCGTAGTCTAGACGTAACGTTCCCACCTCATGACTCGTGGGTACGCGGGTTCAAATACCCGGCGGAGGTCGTCGAATTTTTAAGGGCGGAAAAATTCAGGGAACAAGTCCTCCGGGAGGGACTTCAAGCTGTGTGTCCCGTGTCGTAACTTTACGGCACGTAAAAGAACCTCATATCCCCAAAGGGGATCACTGAGCCAAATTCCAGGACGTTTCCCGCCCAACAATAGTCTTTAAGGCCTCTGATAGATGGGGGAAGCATTATAGATACCGCTAAGCAAGTGGCCGAACTCGCTTGCTCGGCGGGACTGATGGTACGCGCCATTTATCGGTAGGGTATAGAGACTGGTAGAATATCATAGAGGGAAGCACAATAGATCAAACTGGTCGCGGTGCATGGGGAAACCCACCCTCTCTAAATAACTAACTAACTACTTTATGACTGGCGGTTTACCGCCAATCCGTTTTAGCGACAATCCCCTTGAGACTCACGACCAGTATTTTTTTTTTCAAATGAATACTTGCTGTCATAGCCCTTTTGTAATTTCTTCTCTAGCGAGAGAATGTGTCTCTTGTTTACAATTACTGCTGGCCCCCGCCAGCGCAGTCTTACTCGGGTCATACCCCCGCGGGACTCGTGACCACATTTGATTGTCTCAGATTCAAGACTCCCCAGACCTGGAGGGGCCAGGTCACTGTATTTATATCCCTCAAGAACAAGTTGACCCAATCATACCCCCAGGCACTGGGTTCCCTTTCGTCGTCTCCTACGACTTGCAGGGCTAGAGTGGAGGTATTTTACCCTGCCTCCACACAGGATCATAAAAAACATAATTGTTGCACCACGTACCTATTGAAGGGCCTCTTAGAGAACACCGCTTCCCAGCTACTCCATTGTTGCATGTTACGAATCTGTTGCCTAGCAACAGGCGTGTTTGCAGAGCCGTTCCCTATCAATGACTGTCTCTGCTGGCTTCACAGTTCTTGGCTTGAGCAAATATGCCACAGCTTTTATAGCTAGAAGACCATCTGTCTCATGCTATAAAGCAGTTGTTAGAATCTTTTTTTTGTCATGTACTGATAAACTGTTGCATGTCAAGTTCATTTATTCTTTTAACAGATAATACAGTTTGACATGTATGATAGCCATTGAAGTTTCAGTGGGAAATCTCAAATGAAAGGAGTGCAGTAGACAATTTCATAGAGCTGATTCAATTTCACATGCAGATATCCACGACACTTGCGGAATGCAGTATGTTGATTATGATGTTGAAAATCTCATCAAGAACTTGGTTAATTCTTTGCTGGAACTTGAAGGTTAATTATCATGTAGAGAAGCCAGCAAATATCCATGTTTTGAGCCAGTTGCATTCACTCCAATGTCTTTAAGAAGCATATTAATAATATTTTTTCACATACTGCCTATGTCTTCAAAGTGTCTCTGTGAATTCAGCGAAATGGGTTTGGTGATAGAAGGTAATAACAGGCAAATGTACAAGAAATAGATGTTTATGCCCTTGATCAACAAACTGGGGGTACGTGGTAGCGTGGTGGTTAAGGTACTATGCTACAAGCCGGAAGGTTGCAGGTTCAAGTCCCGATGAGGTCATTGGATTTTTTTCAATTGACCTAATCCTTCTGGCCGCACTAGGCCCTGGCGTTTGCTCAGCCTCTAACAGAAATGAGTACCAGGAATTAAATAATTTTCCTGGGGAGTAAAGCGCGGCCGGCGCGTAAGGCTGACAACCGCCATCTAGGGGCCGATTGTCTAGATAATGTGGGACCCTTAACGTCTCACAACCCTATGGGCCTTCATGGCCTGTTACAGGGATAGCTTTACTTTTACTTTTTATTTGATCAACAAACTAGCTTCTTCAAATTGGTATGATTCGTAGAAAGTTAGTTGACTTTTACATTTTACCAGAACAGGAAACGATTTTCGCAGGTTGTCAAAAACACGCAACATATTTTCCCACATGGTTGTCAGCAACTGAGGAACATATTTTGATAGGGTTAATTTGTTTGATATGCTACATATATTAAAAAAAATATTTGTGTTACCATCTAACTGTATCTGGTTGATTACCTTATGTCTGATCAATCAATCAATCTTAGTGGTTTTAGTCTGCAAGCGAACTATACCGACTGAGCGACCGCCGCTTGTCGGCGAAGTTAGTGCCAACTTTAGCAGATAGAAGGTTTCACGTGGTCAGCGCAACGAATCCCCACGACCGTTAATCTCGGTTTTCTAGACTGGCCTTATGTGTGATATCTGTTATTAAAACCTTGACATGTTTTGGTCTTACAANGTTGTATATTCATACACTTGAAATGCAATAGAAGAATGAAGCATATAACAGCTGTTACAGACTGCTCTTTGAAGATTGTTTCAACTGTTACCAAACCCTACTTGAAATAAACTTGGCATTCACCTCCAGGAAGATTTCTTGGCAGTTGAGTCTTAAAGATTTGTATTGCATAATTTAAGTGTGTAAATTTAGGTCAAAATTGTTAACTGTAAAAAGTAGAATGTAGTACATATCCCACAATGATTTTTATAACTATTCAAGTCACTTTTTCAGCATAAAAATATCACATTTTTGGGTTGGTGTGTGTGTGTGTGTGTGTTGGGGGAGGGGTGCAAAGTGTCAGTGCCATATTTTTATTTCATAGGAAATGGGTAATCATGTCCATGTCCTGTAACTTGTGACAGCTTTTTATACAGCTTAGTGTGAAGGGACCTAACGTCATTCCCCCTTTGCAGGCTTGTTTTGTGAAAGTTCATAACTGTCTTAGAAATGAGTAACTAGAATGTGCTACTGGTATCTCTAGAGGTTCTAAAGAAGCTTTTCTGTGGTACCTTAAGCCCTTGTGCACACATTTTGACATTACCACTGAAACTTTAAAATTGTTATATGCAGTTGATTTTTTTTTATTATTTTGAATAAATGCAGAAAAGGCATGTAGGCAGCATGTGGAAATACAAGGTACAGTGTGTGTGTAAGATTTGAGGTTTTCACGGCGGTGACTATGAAGAAAGCAGTCTTCTGAGATGTGCCACCATGTAGATGTGATGTTAACCGATGTTTTGGAGGAACGTATCGCCTCCATCTCGAGGGTTCCTCCGAAACGTCGGTCAACACCACATCTACACGGTGCCACATCCCAGAAGACTGCTTTACACGTTGTGTGTTTGTGATATAAGAGCATTAAGGAATTAAGTTTCTCGGTTTGCAGGGGGTTGTTTCCCATGGAGTCCAGACATATGTTTCACTGTTTCAGGGGATTCCAAGCACAAAAATTTCAAAACTGTCTAATCACACATGTTATCCTTACAAAAAATATAAAATTGCTATTCATGATCATGTTCTCTGTTTTGCATAGTTTTTGCTGTAGGAAAATGACAAAATAATACTAACCACAGGATATAGGTATTTCTGCCATCAGTCCACCTTACTTGTTCCATACATGGACATCTTTATTCTTCTGCAGTTGAGATATGCAGTAGAAATTTTATACTTCATTTTATTCAGGAATTTATTCTCTGTATTTTATTCTGTATAGCATAGAAATCAACATTCTGTCTGGTCATTTGCTTTTCAGAAATCCTGAATTCTTCTGGTATATTTTTATTGTTGAAAGATTCTTGGAAAGTAAGAATTTTGGTTATGCTGACAAGTTTGGCTTGTTATTCTATTTGAATGCATAAATTGTATTTTGGGTATATATTCCTGAACATACACCATACCAACAGAAAAAAAAATGTTACTATATATAGTACTTGTATATACAGTCTTATCTGTTGTCATCCTGGCTGAGGAGGTATGCAGCTAGGAGTGTTTTGTGTTAAATTTAGAAGAATTATGCTTGATTATAATTTTGTTTAAGATTGTTGGATCCACCAGTGTGTGTTATGCCAGCGAACATTCTGAGGTGAACCCAAGCACAAGGCAAATGATTCTGAAGACAAGAAATGTGAGTGTACCCTTGTAATATCATCTGTCTTTTTACCTACTATATTTACTAGGCAGTTTGTTTGTGAGTTTGCAGTGTCCATTCAGGCCAAGCTTTCATCAGGTATGCTGAATAGGGATGCAAATTTTTAAATAAGCACTCGGTTGTTTCATTACAGCACCTACTGTACTTTGCATTAAATAAATATTGTTACTGGGATATGTTTGTGTACATTTTTCGTACTTTATGATTCGTATCTCCTTCATTGTTGGATACTTTCATTTTGTTAATGTCAACTACATGAGGGAAGCCATGAAAGGCATGTTCATGGGCAGCAAACTTGTAACATGAAATTTCAAAAGCACACCCAAGATCAAAACTTTGAATAGAAGTGTTTCCTGTTCATGGATGTAAGGAAAGTGAGATTTTTCACCATTTAATGTGATCACAGATTAAATGTCTTAACTTGTCTAAGAAATCCATTGTATTTAGTGTGCTTTGTTCTGATATACTAATAAGTACAAACAACAAACTCCATGGTTTTAGCCCGCAAGCGAACTATACCAACCGAGCGACTGCTGCTTGTTGGGGAAGTTAATGCCACTCTGTGGTCTAGCGGTCAGAGTTCTTGACTACAGATTCAGAGATCCAGGTTCGATTCCCAGCACTACCAGATTTTCTGAGAAGTAGTGGGTCTGGAATGGGGTCCACTCAGCCTCATAAGGATAATTGAGGAGCTGTTTTGAGGAAGTAGTGGCTCCAGTCCAGAAAACCGAAATTAACGGCCGTGGGGATTCATTGCGCTGGCCACGCAACACCCTCTATCCTCCAAAGTTGGCTCTATTAATAAGTACATACATGATAATATGATCATTTAACATCATGATAAATTTTATTATGGGGTAATGAAATATTAGATTTTGCTCTGAAATAAAGCTATTTCCTTTTCCTCTTCTGAAAATAAAATGGCTACTTATGAACACATTCAGTTTAACCTTTGTTAACGTGGGGAATGAGCGTTAATGCAATTGTAGTAGCTAAAGAAGAAGTGGATAACACAGTCTTAAAGATTTACCATGTTTGTGTCACATTGTCTGTGAGAAGTCAGTTTAATTTAGTATGAAACTGAAATATGTTGTTTTTCAGTTAACATTCTGCCGCTACATTGCTGTAGATGAGACAGTAAGTTACGCTCCTCATCCTCAGGATCCAAGCAAAACTCTTCTAAAGCAAGAGGCTGTTGTGACTGTAAGGGGAGTTCCACTTACCAGCTATGTAGAAGATCTTCTTACCAGCAAAATTTCACTCAATGCAGGAAAGGTAATGCACAAAAATACTCTAACCATTTTGTAATACAGATGAAGATGGCACCATATGTAGAAAATGAAAGTTTCTACCATTTTTAATGGTTGGTGTTCTCATTTGTGATGTTTATTGCTGCTGCTAGTTGTAACAAATGAAATAGTACATATCCAAATTTGAGTGACATTACTGATGGTATGTTGCACAATCTGTTACCACCATTTATACATTATTCGGTTGCTGTTGTCACTGATGTTGCTTATCAGAATTTGAGTGGTGCTGACATGAATTGTAAGTCATTGATAAGGTTGGTAGGTATTGAGCTTGTAAAGTTGATGTCAGGGTTATGGTCTCTTCACATTGTTGAAATGATGAGTTGAAAGTTTATTCCTAAACTCAATGTTCTCCACATGAAAATGAAAGTTTTAAAGTATTCATATTACCATTTCATACCTTGAACAGTTTGATTTGTGTTCGTATTGTGATTGGCCATAAGAATTATTACAAATTCCAAAAATAGGGATTCCTCTAGGGAGTTATTTAAGAAACTAGATATACAATTATTACCATTTTATTCTCAGTATATATTGTGATGTGTTGGGTGTATAACACGACAAATAACTTCACGCCGTATTGGCTGTAGTGAATTTTATTTCACATTGCTCTTACAATCACACAGTTTACAATCTCAAAATTACTGCCATCGGCGGTATCACAAATACTAGACTGCAAATGCTAGAATGCAACTGACTGGTTGACTTCCTGGCTAACTCGTAACTTGAGAACTGGCTGTGAATAGTCTTTGCTGCTCCTTATTTAACCTCGTTCCGGGCAACACAGAAAACAGCCACGTAATATGCACCACTGTTGTCTGGCGCCCTGTTGCTAGCAACACTGTCGGGAGTTGTTTACAGGTACATAGCAATTGTGGCGTTGCATGTTACATCACCGCGGGGTGAGGGGTGGGGTGTTGACTTGCCTATTACCATAGTAATGACAGCACTACGATGCCGCCACATACCGCTGGCGAGGGAGGGGTGTCCTCCATTGCGCAACATGTAACAATATTTCATTCTAATTTTTGTAATTGATAATATCTCCTTATTTAAAACAAATTCAGAGTTATATGATATTGTGACGTGTTGTGCTGCGTGATAATAGTCGCTGCGAGGAGTAGCTGAAACAACAGGAGACCAACCAAGCACATCCATGGAAGGAAAGGAACGGGGGTGCACAGTTAGGCTATTCGGGACGAACAGCCTTAAGGATGGAGCAGTGTGACGTGTTGCACTATGGATGATGCCCCTCCCTCTCCGCCAGCCATGACGTGCCGAGCGGAGCCGAAGTGAGCCGAGTCCCAGCACGCTGGTCGCTATGTAAAGCGAGTAAACACCGGTTGCTAAGCAAAGCGAGTAAATAGCAGTTGCTAGGCAAAGCGAGTAAACAGCGGTGACGTAACACGGGACGCCGCAGTTGCTACATAGCCGTAAAATAACTCCCAACAGCGTTGCTAGGCTATCGGCAAACACAGCATCAGACAACAGTGGTGCCTATTACATAACTGTTTTCTGTGTTGTCCGTAACAGGGCTAAATAAGGAGCAGCGAAGACTATTCAAGAGTTAGTTACGAGTTGGCCAGGGAAGAGTATTCAGTCAAGTAATTGTAATACTGCAGATAGCAGTAGTTGTCAGATTGTAAACTGTGTGATTGTATGAGCAAGTGTGGAATAAAATTCGCTATATCCAATAAGGCGTGAAGTTATTTGTTGCGTTATAACCCAACACGTGACAATATATACACACCAGAGGTAAAAATAATTTTTACCCTTCACAACCAAGGTTGTCTATCTATAAAAATGGTGTTTATTATGCAAGTATAAAGGCATTTAATGACTTACCTCCTTGCATAAAAAAATTGTCTGATAATAAGAATCAATTTAAAAATACTCTAAAAAACTACCTTCTATTGAATTCTTTTTATTCACTGAAGGATTTTTTTAATATTAATTATTAATTTTAATGTGAATTTTTAATGTTTTATGTATCATAGGTGCTTTATTTTGGCATAAATATGTTATCTACCTTTTGGTATGATGATTTTTTACAATATTAAATTTAAGATGTTGTGTTTAATGTTAATTTATTTTGGCATAAATATGTTATCTACCTTTTGGTATGATGATTTTTTACAATAATAAATTTAAGATGTTGTGTTTAATGTTAAAGTAGGAAGATAAACAGTTTGGTTTATTGTTTGATCTGACTTATGCTTATTTTCATAGTATGTGTATTTTAGTTAATTGTATGTGACTGGTTCTATATCCTCAGGCATATTTGTAGCCTAGATTGGATCGACAGAATTTTACAGTGGAATAAATAAATAAATTGTTTTGGTAATGACATTGTGTAGTCTGGTGGGGAGAAGGGGATATTAACATTTCAGAGGAACATACACCATCTTCAGAGTAGAAGTGGGCCAAGTTGGAAAAATAGATGGTTATATAGAAGAATTGTGGGTAGGATAGAAGTGGCCAGAGGCAGGAATGAAGAATGAGGAGCCAGTGGGAAATTAGGTCCTATAAAGGAAACCTACTTCAGAAGATGAGTAAAGAAGAATGTCACAGAGCCCATTTCGTGGCCACAGGAAGAGGGAAGAAAAGTCACAACTTGTCTTTTGAAATAGATGTGAGTGAGAGGATTCCAAGACCTGCTCAGGGAGAAACCATTTTGCCTCTTAATGTTGTGAGAATGGAGCTCAGTCTCTGTTGCTTTCCTGTTGAGGCAGAGAAGTAAACTGCTTGAAAGGATTCTTGAATAGTAATTAGATGCCTTTTGGAAGTCAACAGTCCCGCTGAATTAATTAAATGACTTCTTTTATGTATTCAAAGGTGTTCTTAAATAGAAATATCTGCCTTATTCCTTCACAGTATATTGTGAAAGAGAAAGCAAGGTTCACACTTTGTCTACAACAAAAATGTGTATATTTCTGATTACTGAAATGAATATATCAGAACCTACCTTCTTCAGATTATTTTGCCATCCTGAAATGTCATTCGTCGTATCATTCCCTGCAGTTGCATCTAAGTGTTATATAGTTTGACTAGTTATACAGTTTTCTTAAATGAATAAATCCCCCAATTGCAGACATTAGCTGTGAGTTAGTGGTGTTATCCAAGTAATACATTAAAAATTACAATTAAATGATTTAATATTATGTAGAATTTGAGGTTCTGAGAGTGATGGTTATGAAAAATTCTACTTTTGAGATATAATTCCACATAGTATAGTGAAAGTTGACCGTTGTTTCAGAGTTATGTGTCACTTCCATCTTCAAGGCTGAAAATGGGGGCAGCATATTCCTCCGAAATGTCAGTTGACTCTCACCAGATTACATGGTATTATATCCCAGAAGATGGAACTTCATATTTCATAATATTTAATTAAAGAGTGATAACAGGTCTGATAAGAAAGCCTGAATTCATGTCTCAGATAAATTGCATTGAGCTGGATCACAGCTGAAGTGAATATGTTATGACATTACTGCATGTTCAGTCTTGTTGATAGCTTGTCTTTCTCATCAGATGTTCATGGTCTGCATGTTTTTCCAATCTAGTGGTTCTGTAAGGGTGTGAACATGGTCACTGACAATAAGGGAGGAACATAGAATGAGGGTGTTGAAGAGAATATTTGGACCGAAGAGAGGTGAAGTGACAGGAGGTTGGAGAAAACTGCATAATGAGGAGCTTTATAACTTGTACTCTTCTCCAAGTATAATTAAAATAATCAAATCAGGAAGGTGAGGTTGGCAGGGCATGTAGCATGAATGGGAGGAAAGCGGGATGCACATAGGATATTGGTGGGAAAGCCAGATGGAAAGAGTCCACTGGAGAAACCAAGGCATAAGTGGGTGGACAATATTAAAATGGATCTTAGAGAGATAGGATGGGATGGTATGAATTGCATTGATCTGGCTCAAGACAGGGACCAGTGGAGGGCTCTTGTGAACAAGGTAATGAAACTTCGGGTTCCATAAAATGCTAGGAAGTTCTTGAGTAGCTGCAACAATTGGCGGCTTCTCAAGAAGGGCTTAGCTCCATGAGTAAGTAAGAGTAAATTCCCATAACCCAAATAGCAGTGAGGTATTATTTATGCACAAATTTCATTGATGTGATACAAATCAGGATTCCACAGAGTGAAAGTAAGCTCATATGGGATCTTGTTATTTCCAGGGCAGACAGGCAATTGAATGGGTGATTGACAAAATTGATGCTGAAGTGAAAGAGATTGCCAGCAGTGCAGTGAAAAGTACTGATGAACTCTTCACACAAACAAAGAAGTCTTTTGATGACATCACAACAACAGCCCGAAAGTCTATGGATGATATATCATCAGCTGCAAAGAAATCTTTGGATGACCTGCAAAATCTGGCCAGTGTCCCGAAACGAACTAACCAACATTTACCGAAAATTTAACAGTGATTATTTTAGATGGTTATAATTTGAACTGATGGATTCATTGACCACTGTTCTTATTATCACAGCTGTTCATGCTCTGAAACCCCATATATTTAAGTAAAAATGTATTAAAGGGTTCAGTTCAATTTAACATGCCATGAATCTTAAGTTAATATGTAGGTTATATAATTTAATGTTGTACCAAAATAAACTGACTATGATGTGCCTTTCATTGCAATTTACAGTGGTGTGGTTTTACACTTGTTCATCCAGTCATGTCAGCCAATAACTAAAGTAAAGGTACTCCAGGCTGGCTGGTCCAGCCATGTGCAACACCACAGAGGAATTACTTTTTAAAGGAACATTGCGCTTGTATATTTTATGTAATTCTGTCTTGACAGCTGTTGGGAACAGTTACAGTAATGTGTTATATTAGCAGTTCCTGTTTTTTTTGGCTTAATGTAACAACTTTTGAAATTACAAAGTTGTCAAAAAGTAAAGAACAAAGGTAAGGTTGTAGTTGGAAGGAAATTTGAATATTGTATATATGAAGTAAAGCGTCCCCCCAGCATTGCATACAGCTTATCAGTTAAATAAACATGTCCCAAAACTAATTTGCACATGTACATCAGCAGATAACATTCCTCATATCTGTACAGCTGAGCCAAATAAAGATGTGTGAATATTTTTTAAATGTAGTTTGGCTATCTATTCAGATGTTGCTGAACATGTTTTCATAGACTAAGTTGAAGAAATGCTGTGCATTTCCTGTATCACAGAATTAATGAATGTACTGTGTACTGTTGTGCAAGTCACAAATATTGGAAGTATATTGTAATCATTAACTTAATTTGATAGTTTGACTTACTGGAATATTGGACATGTAGATTATTTATAATAGAGTCATAGCAGAATTCTTGTATTTCATGTAGATGTAATATTTTATTTCTTAAAAGAACTTCAGTTTTTTTGAGAACATGTATTTGTTTTGCTGTAGCTTTATTTTATAGACACAGTAACCTTCATATTATTATTGAATGTAGTTCCACCTATTTCTGTGTCTGTCTTATATACCAGGAAGTGGAAAGAAAATGTAGGTCAAGGAATGCCTTTCCCTAATCTCCTCACAACCCTTTCCTGGTAGCTGCTGCAACCAGCTACTCTCTGGTCTGGTCATACCAAGAGTTTGATTAGAATCATGCCCTTCATATTGCTCCTGAATGAAATGCTGTATGGTTCTGGAATAAGGTTACACATATAATAATGGGGTGTCTAATACAGCATAGGAAACATGACATAAGTCACTGAACCACTTCCCAGCAAAATTAGATTTGTGTATAAATATTATACAAGGTAACAGACATACGAGTATTCAATGCCTGCCTTGTGATTGAGCCTTTGATTCCTCACCAGTTTTCTCTGCTATTGTCTTGCCTAACCTCAGTTCCCTGCATACCCCCATTAATGTGGTTCACTTATTTGGAAAGTACCAATGACTGACCATCAACAGTCATAGAATACAGAGCTCCATGATGTAGATCACTTTGTAGTTCATGTCGGTGTTTGTTGTTCAGGCCTGTAGACACTCAGATGCTGAACCTTTGGTCATTTCTGACTGAAGACATAGCCTTACAGTAAGCCCCATGGATGATTTTACCATGATAAGTCTTCCCCTTCTGATCAATAACTATACCCCTTTACTCTGAAGTTGGTCATAGAGCTGTATACAGGCACTTTGTCATACATATTCACCTGCTGTGGTCAGCTGTCTGTAGTCCATTCCACATACCTTACTGTTGTGTTAAGCTGTTATATCTTCTCATTCTATGACCATGAAACTCAGATTTCCTAATTTTATTTCTGCGAGGTTGTCATATAAGGGTCTGTGTTAAAAATCGAGGAATATTGTAGAAATGTATAGAACACGTAACCAAAAAGAGCATATATATATATATATATAGTAGAAGTTCCTTACACGTATATCTGCCTGATGTGTTTGCATATATATAAGGATTTTGTGTACCAGCAAAAAGAACTAGCATAGAAATGGTAAACAATCTGAAAGAGCAAGGATGTATTTTGAATGTTCCCTGTACAGATATCTTTCAGGTGGATGAGTATGTGCATATGAATTGTTCCCCAACAGAAGTACATAATAAATGAAATGGCTCTTTTTGGATGCTGATACCCATTTATGCATTATTGTTATTTTTAACCTTCCATTTTTACTCGTTACTCCTGCATCTTATTCTGTTCAGCAAACATGATAAATCAAAAAGACAAAGCGATTCAGGCTATTGAATTTTTCTGTCATTTAATACACAAATCTTGTGGGTAAGCTAAAGACTGTTGTAACACTATGAGAATGAACGATGTAAATGAAATTGTAACAGATGAAGTCAGTATGTGTCTTGTTACAGAGAAATTCACTGCAAGGAATACTGATAAACTGTATCTTGGAAGGGATGATTAATTGGAACAGCAGAAAATTATGGAAGAAAGAACAGACTTAACTGTGAATGCTGCCAATATCAATAAAAATTCCTAAATATGTAACTTTTTATGGATAAAAGTGTCCTCAGGAGACCTCGATGTGGGCTCCCTTGGTAGCACGGAGAATATCCAGACGATATTTGAGCTCTTGCAACGTTCAGTGGAGCATGTCCGCTGGAATAACTGAGATCGCATTCTGATACGGGTCTTCAGGTCATCAAGTCCATTAATTGGTGTTCGGAACACACTGCTCTTGACATAACCCCACAGGAAAAAATTCAGTGGTGTTAAGTCTGGTGAACGTGGAGGCCAAGGCATTGGACCGTCTCTGCTGATCCATCTTCCTGGAAATGTCCTGTCTAGGAACACAGATTTTTTTCCTCTGGGGTTATGTCAAGGAACATGGCCTTGAAATATGGCAGGAGTCACCTGGTACACTATATAGTTTGCTCTATATCTTTCTTTAATTTTATGAAAGTTAGTGAACATGAATCCATGAGACCTATACTTAGCTGGAATTTAATTGTGCTTGAATAGTGGTATATGATTGTATATTAAATTAAAATAGGGTGAGTAGGGTAACAGGGAGGGCCGCAGCATAGCTCAAGTGGTTAGTCGCTGGGTCTGGTCAAGTGATATTTGTGGTGGACAAAGTGGCGCTGGGGCAGGTTTTCTCTGAGTACTTCGGTTTCCCCTGCCAATCTTCATTCCACCAATTGCTCCACAATCACCCTCACCTATCATCTGGGGCTGGTAACATAGGCCAGAAGTGGTCGCAGTACAAGGGACTTAGTCCCACCCCACTAGCAATAAAAGTAATAGGGTAGCAGGGATATACATATGTGGGTCATTTCATAAATAATGCACAGGTTGGCAACACTGCAGATTAGATGATGCAACAACAGTGAGCCTCACATCAGTTACAGTTCAGGGCTTGAGAAAGAAGCTTGTTATTTTGTTTCATTGATAATGTACTCTGTTCCTAAATAACATAAGTTAGAAATTGAGCCTGCACGGTTCTCCGGGATTGTGACTGTTGAAGATCAAAGGTCGTACATTAAGATTGAAACTTTACATGGAAAAAAAACCTGACAGAAATTCACAGCTGAAATCATAGTCCAACAAGTGGAGAGGTCCATCTTCCCCATAACCAAAAGAATTTTGATGATCTCAGTCAAAGGTCAAACAAATGATGATCTTTGCTTATGATCACCGAGGAATCATCATGATAGATAGAGTTCTGTGCAGGAAAAGTGTCGCAGCACTGTATTATCGTGACTTTATGCAAAATCTGCGCAGAAAAATGCACAAAAACCAACCTCAGTTGCTCGAGGATGGGGACCAGTGGAGGGCTTTTGTGGACATGGTAATGAACCTTTGGGTTCCATAAATGCTGGGAAATTCTTGAGTAGCTGCATAATTGGCGGCTCCTCCAGAAGGGCTCAGCTCCATGAGTAAGTAAGTATACAACACTAGATTCACTTTGTGTGTATGATGCCACACACTACCAGAGTCTGTAGCTGGTAATTCTTTTGGATTTTAACAATAGGCATAGGGATAGCTGGTTGAGATATTGTTATGTCTGTTTAGTGTCAACTACCTGCTTTTCTCACTAGACAGCATCCATTGAATTTTGAAAGTAATGTCTACCTGCATAACATCCTGTGTCACTTCTGCTTGAATTTCTTCCATGATTTTATGTTTCTGTGTGTGTATATGTGTTTTGTAGCTATACCCATATTTAATATGATTTAAGGACTTCAGATCCAAGATGAAGGCATGGGAATTTATTTCGAATGTATCAGACTTCAATGATGTTGGTGTAAAGTGTTAGGCAACGTAGTCAAAATACGCATTTATATAAATAAAATATGACAGTGAAGTGTTTGTTGTTTTTAATACATAGGTTTACTCAATTAAATTAAATATTTGAAATGCAAATTTTCTAATTTACTAATTTTTATCAAATTTAGAAGTAAACCAAACTTATAATCGCCTCGTTTTATGTGGTGGTTCTGGCAGGTCTGGTATGGCAAGGTATAAATGCGTTTGGCTGGCGGGATTTCGCCGCTTGAGGAATAAATGAATGCGAGAGAATACGCAAACACTGTTTAAATTTCGCGCCTTTCAAACTCAATGTTCAGATGTCGCTGTCTGCTAAGGACCATATTTCTTTCACCACTGCTGTTTGGGAAAGAAAAGTGCACTATGTACGAGAGCTATCTTAATGATTATGACATTACCATCGGTGATCCAATGAATGCCTCAAGCTTTAACTCAAGGAGAAGAGGCGTGTTAGTAGAGGCAGACGGCGGCACATGTGTTTTGTAATCACTACTGGCTGACGGAGAGTAGTGTGAGGGCAGGAAGAGTTAGTCTACGTTTTCACATGCAATTGGCAATATGACAACCGATTTGGAGCAAGAGACTCGGATACGATACCGCCGAACCAAAAGTGTATCTCGTGCAGAAGATCTACAGAAGGAAGAGGCCCGTGTTAGAAGTTCACAACCAGATAAACCGTAAGTATCGTTACATAGTACCCTGCTTGCAAAAAGGGCGTCAGCTGAAAAATCAGAGACTGGCGTAGCGGAAACGGACTGTGACAAACGAGGTGGTAAGCGGATAATTTGAAAAAGAACTTATAGCAGCAAACTCTTGTACGTTTGAGAGAGTGAATGTTCTAAGTTTTAGGCGTTAATAAGCGCAAATGGCAAACAGACGATTCCTACTCGTTTGGGATGAACATGGAGAGAAAAGACTTTTTGAAGAGACTATATTTGTCATACTGATTTTGTAGTGAACGCTGTAAATCGGGGTGGGCCATTGCATCTTCCCTTTTCCATATTTTGAATTTACTGATTATGAATGCCAGCTGAAAGTGAAAACTAAATATCATCATGGAGCTGGGCTACGTGATGACCCGTTCCGGCCTCCTTCGTCTCGTAGCATCGTCAAAGTTCAAAGGTTCTACCCCGTGCTTTGATTCATGTGGTGTGTAATTTTTAATAGTAGCCGAAGCTTTTTTTTTTTTGCATTCTGTCATGTTGAATCCAGCAGGTTTTATATTTCGAAATTTTGCCCATATGGATTTTCTTTTTAATGTTTTAACTCAGATTTGTTTCTTTTATGGGCCCTCCAAGTGTATTTCGTCGATTACATTATGCATTTAATTTTAGTGTGAAAGCGCCAGTAAACCAGTAGTATTATACATTTTTATGGTGATGTGTTGCTGGACTTTTATGTAAAAGTTTCGTTGGCAAAGCAAGTTACTTTGAAAATCTATGTCTTCTTCCCTTAAATAAATTTTTATCAAACTGTTGTTTGCAACCCCCAGAGGGGTCGCCATGAACCCTGTGGGGGGGGGGATTGCGAAGTTCGCGCGAATTATTTAAAATATTATATTCATCATGGTTTTAGCAAGGCAGTAAGATTTAATGTATTTTGCTTTTAAACATTTATGAAATTTTCCATGACTCTTCATTAATATTTTATACCTTACTGTAGGTTGTTAAGCTATTTGGGTTCCTGCTGTCACTGTACAGCCTGACAGGGATCTGCATCAATTTGCAGAACTGCACTTGTGACTGCACAGGGAAATTTTATAGCTTACTATAGGTATAAGGAGACTGTAAAGCTGTTTAGGTTTCTGCTGTCACCATCCAGTGTTACAGGGACATGCAAAAATGTGCAGAACTGCTCCTTTTGTGACTGCATAGGAACATTTTTTATAGCTTACTGTAATGTAGAAAGGCTGTAAAGCTATTTAGATGCCTGCTGTCACTGTACAGCCTGATAGGGACCTGTAGCAGTGTGCACAACTGCACTTTTGATTGATTGCCAGAGCTGGGGAGTTGCATAAATCTGTGAATTATTTTAAAGGGTTGCAGTGTCAAGGAGTTTGAGAACCACTTCCTGTATATGACATTGAACTCTGGATGTATTTCACTGTGTTGATTTTCTGCTTGATTTTATAATTTGTCAAAACCTTAGTTCTTGTGGGTTTTTGGCCACAAATTGCTGATACTATTTGTCTCTTGAAATTGATATTCCATATTTGCCTATTAATTTATTAAGTTTATGAACTGATGTTTTTAGGCAAAAAGGAATGTGTTTAAAAACATAACTGTGTTCGTGTTAATTTTGTTTTCTCTGTATTTCCCACATATATAATATTCCATCCAAGTATATATTAAACTAAGTTGGTGATAGCAGGCATCCTTAATGTAAATCATGAATTGTGGAAGTGGATACAGAGAATTCTGAGTTACATTTAATTTGTATTTTGTTAACTTTGTTTTTTACTGTTGCTTGTAGTAATGGATTTGGAATATTTTTGTCTCTCACAATGTTGTAATATTGGTGTCATTATGTTACTAAATGCTTTGTCATAATCAAAGAATAAGAAGTGTTGGTGCAACTTCTGTGCTCTCTATTAATCAGTAATTTAAAACAAGGCTGCGCCATAGCTCAAGCAGTTAGTCGCTGGCTTCCCACCACGGCATCCCGGGTCTGGTCAAGTGGGATTCGTCCTGGACAAAGTGACGCTGGGGCAGGTTTTCTTCGAGTACTTTGGTTCCCCTGCCAATCTTCATTCCACCAATTGCTCCACAATCACCCTCACCTATCATCTGGAGCTGGTACAATAGGCCAGAAGTGGCCGCAGTACAAGGGACTTAGTCCCACCCCACTAGCAATAAAAAAAAAACTAAAATACACGTACCTGGAGAATTACTTTCTTAATGTCCTGAGTAGCAGAGTTTTTTTTATATACCATTAAGGTCCTTTGATTACACTTATTTCCAGATTTGGAATGTCAGTTTCAATATTTTGTAGTTTCAGAAGTTGGGACACAGTATTCATGTTATGAAAGAAGTGCCTTCCTTGGAAGTCACTCATTAAACTAATATTTGCTGAAAATTAATTTATCAAGTTTAAAGCAATATTGGAGGTACAGTTATCAAAGAGATTACATACGTATACAGGTATCTATTATGTGCTGTACTTTACAGATTGGTTTCTGGACGTTAAAATAAGTATAAACAAGTTCATTAGAAATCATAGCTGAGACCCTCCCATATAAAGTTACAACCATTAGAAAATGTCAGCTCCTGCTGTTGCATCCTCTGAGTTTTTTTAGGGGGGGATGAAGGGGGTCATGAAGTCTGCTTGATGCTTAACTTTGTGTCTGACAGTCTTACTCTGAATATGCAATGCTGTACACTGTGTAGATAAACACTAATATGTACTACATTTTGTGTCAGTACTGATCCAGCATGGAGAGTAGTTATTCATTTCCTGAATTAGTGGACATGTATCTTGTGCTAGGATAGTGCACCAGAAATGCTAGAAATGCTGTTAGAAGATAGAGAAGGAAAATCTCCATAATTGGAGAGTGCCAAATCAGCCAACTTTCCTTTCTCTTGACTGCCAACTCTCGAGAGAGAGGAATATTTTACAGAATGCAATTGGATGTTGGCTTTCCACATTCTGTCCATAATATATATTGCCTCCCATGCATTTGTACACTGTACATTACAAGAAGAGCAGTTGTGTCTCTGTCACAGTCAGATTCTTCAGGAATTAGCACTACATGATTATAAAATTCATTATAAAATATAACACTACACGATTTTGTAACAGTCATCCAAAGACCCCACATTTATAGCAAAGGTTTCATTGATGCATGAACTGTGCTTCGCTGGAACCAGGCTCACCAACATTCACAATGGTCAGATGAGGATCCTCATGTGATTCAGTCTTGTCATTAGCAATTACAGCTTTCCATCAACCTGTGGGCTTGAGTTTTAGACGAGTGCTGCATAGGCAGCACCTTTTTACAACATGAGCTGGTGGCTGTGAACACCTTAAATTTTTTAACACTTAAGTGGACTCTTGGAAAATGTGTCCTTCATTGTGTATTTTTGCTTATGGTTTCAGCACAATAGTACTCCAGTGCATTACAGTTATGAAGTGCATTACTGGCTTTTTAAAAATTATGTCAGACGTTGACTGATCACAGATATGAAGCTCCAGTTTCCTGGCCTGCATGCTCGAATGACTTGAACCTTCTCAATTGTTTTCATTTGGAATATTTGAAAAACCAAGGTGTTTGCAATTAAGGTCGATACTAGGGAGGAGTTATGGTAAATTTTCAAATGAAATGAAGAATACACCCAGAATATTTGAATACTTGTATTCCGTGCAGATCCGATTTGTGTGTCTGTCAGCACAAAGGCCGTTTCAAACATCTCTTGTAAGAAAGTAAAAAAGTTTATTAATTGCTCTTTTGTTTGTTATACTCAGAACTTCATAGACCAAACTGCAGACAAGTCTATTTGAAGCCTCTGCATTAAATTATGGGCATACTGCTGTGCATGCTGTTGATATTGAACTTTCTGGTCTTGCAGAAGCTTCTTCAATAGTCCAAGATATTGAAATAATTTAAAGTCAAATTATGAGTATAAAGGAGGGTTGCATTTCCAAACAGTTTTGGGTGTATGTGGTTAGGAAGTATCTTGCTGAGGGAAATATGACTTCTCATGAATGCAGTTTCTCATGCCATGTATGTTACTTTAATCGAGAAGAATAGTAGCTGGCAGCAGCTATGGTTCTTCCAGTTGACAAGAAATAAGTGTGGCTTATCCGAGCGAGAAGACAGTTGACTTAATTTTTCCACTGGAAAGTTTGCTTCTGAATTTCTTTGGTATGTGCCATCAATCTAGGAGTAGTATGAGCAGTTTTGTGACGTAGCACTTCCCTCCACCATAAGGCACAGCAAATGTGCTTCACATGATTTTTCCAGTGGTTACAGTGATCTATGTCCAATTGTTTTGGCATCCATCTGCAGAAAGTTTTTTGAACCTGGTGTATTTGTAAACAATTATTTTGATAGATCTATTAGATATTAATTCTGGTTAGGACAGAGGTCTTGTTGTGGTGACTGTCAGAGACAGCATTGTATGGCATACCAGGTCTTTCGCTGTGAAGAACATATTTATGATCATCTCAGAAATGTGCGAACTATCCAGACAGTTTGCATCATGACAAATTCTTATCCCTGAACACTGCAGATAGTTGCCAATGAATGTCAGCACTGGAAACTCCTTTGGTAACAATGAACTTTGAGACACATTGTTGTATATTCGTCTGCTCCATTATAATCTTGCATAACAACAGAATCAACTGCATGCTGAAATTTGTACTTCTGATGCTGGATGCTAGATGTAACATGCATGCAGCGTGGGATTTGATAGATTGTGTCATTTCATTCCAACTGTAACAGATCAAGAAAGTTCAGCCGAAGAATGTATTATATGCTGCTTGTCAATAGTAACAGAAATGTAAATATATAGTATACATGCAAGGAAGTACATTCACACATGTATTTATATGCATATATTGTAATGAAAAGTAATTACCTTTCTTTGAATAATACTATTATATATTGTGACATGACGCCTGAAAGGCGGAGTAGTGGAGCCAGAGCAGAGGTCCATTGCTAGCCAATGGCTTGTGAAACACCTGTTCCCATTGCAATGAGTAGGCAAGGGTTTGGTACACATGCTTCATGGCAAATGCAAAACAGAATAACATGAACTGTACGAGGTGCTGATCTATATTTGGGTCACTGGAAGTTCACTTCAATTGTTTTAACAATTGATTTATAAACTAAAATTCCAACCTTGTTTATATTGTAGCAACAATTTTACATCTATGTCCTGTATCAGGTCATGTTATTTACGTTTATTTTGAAATTTATCCACTGGTGTTTTAGTCAGAGTCTGAAGTTAAGGAAGGACAAAGTGTGGGTTGATTTGTGCATAATTTCATGCTATGGCAAAATTTTTTCTCCTGAAAAAAGTATTATGTACAGACAAGATATATAATTCTTTATGATGTGCTGCTGAAGAAGGGATGTGTCATTCTCAGCCATGTCAAGCTCTTATATTAGGATATTAGTGTAAAAATCTAACTTATTTTGATATTAACATTTTATAATGTCTGTAAGTGTACTGACTGAGGTATCATGGCTCCTTAAGTAAACGTTCAGATTATAAAAGAGGGCATTATTATATTCATGTATGAATAAAGGAAACATCTTTAGTTTTATATTTTTAATTTTGTGTTTTCTTACAAAAGATTCAGTATGAGGTGTCATCGTGTGCCACCAGAAATAAAAATCTTTTAGTATAGGGTTCTAGCATCTTTTCCTTTTTGATTTGAAAAATTTGTGAAGAATGCTGCTGTTGGCTACTTAAAGTAAAGGTTAAGAATTGAGTGTGACATCATTCATATTCTTATGAAATGGCCTTTATAGATATTGAAAGTGTCTATGTGTATGAATACATGTATACGCACACCCGCATAACCTCATAATGACAGTATAATTTTTGTGACAATTTTTTTCCTTACAGAATTAAAACTTCATTTCATTTGTCATGCAGTGTTTGCTCTTGTATATGTCATTCTTTTTATATATTGTGACAGTAACAACTTTGTATTACAGATGCCACAAACCACGAGATTCGCTGTTTTCATGGTCATCTGGGTTCGACAACTTCACCGGGTTTGTCAACTGGGGCTTCCTCCTTCTCACAATGGGTGGAATAAGGCTCCTCTTAGAAAACTTCATCAAGTAGGTTTTAAGATATTTTAAAATATCCCCACTCTTTTCTCCATAAAGACTTTGGAATGATGTTATGCTTCTATCTGGTGCAGTTGCCAGTATTGTTTGTTGTAAATGAACTGTAATTAAGTGCTCATCAGTTATCAGAGTAACAGTGACTGAACAATACAAGGTATTTCATTTGTTAACTAAGACTATGATATTGTGCTATGAGACATAGGTTGTCATCTTTTCAGAATTTTCACAGAGGCCTGAAGGCTTCATTATATCACTGTCCATGGTATAAAAATGTGTCAGGTTATTCTGGAAGATGTTAAATTGAAGTTAATAAAACACGAGTCTTGGGTCTTTATGAAATATTAATATCTGCCAGGAAAGTCATTTTGCCAAGTCAGCTAAAATGTAGTTTACAAAATTAATATGTTAATGAAAAAAGGTTATCTGTTTTCTTCTCAGAGGGAATGGAATGTGTTTTTAGACTGTGTTTCATCCAAGAAAAATCTTGTTTGTACAACTTTCATGAATGAAGAATTGTTGATATTGCCTCAACTGTAATGCCTGCAAATTACTATTGGAACCTTAAGTAACCCTTTTTACTTATAAGAGTTATATTTAATAATTGTTGTGGATTAAAGTAAGCTATTTTAAATTTATTCTGTTATGATTTACTTATTGAGACAAATACAATTGGAAAATAGCAGGACCTCTACTTTTTCATGCAGTTGGCTTTGAAATGATAGATTGCATATGTTTATCTCTTTCAGTTTCACTATCAGGCTTAGTCCTGCATTCATAAAAATCATGTTCTAGTTCAATACCTGTGACAGTTTTGCAATTCAGACAAGCTTTGCAGGGTAACATATGTCAGTGTATGAATATACGGACATCGAAGAATTGAACATGGTGTGATAATGTTGACTATTAGTAACTTCATATGAAGCTACATGTTAGCTGGCAGATTCACTTGTCACCAGAAGCACATCTAGGGAGTCTGTCATCATAAGAATATTTGTGCTTGAAATTGTTTCGCATGTTGGCTTGTATTTGTTGTGACCCATGTTGTGGTTGCTACCACAGCATGCCTTGACAGAATTAAGGCAAGCATTCTCAACATTTTTGCATTTAGAATTGTATTGGATTTTCTTTTGTACCTTCATTGTTTAAATCCCTTAATGGTGTATGTACAAGAAGTTGTAACCTGCAGTTGGTAATTTAAGATTGTTGTGTTTCTGCTTCATACCTTGTAATTACCAGTAGCAATTTGTAAGCTGTACTTGATCATAAACAAAAATCGTTTGTGTGTTGTTGTGGCTATTTCAGTGTGTATCACAGATTTACATGTGGCAAGGTTGGGGCTAACTTACACATCTCAAAAAATGAACTAATTTAGGGGCAAAATGATACACACTAACTTTCATTGTTCCAAGTAGGCATGCCTTATTTCAGAGCATGAGTAGGAATGTGCAGTCAGATCAAACTTGAGTTAAAAACTCACTTCAAGGAGCAGAATCCTTGAGAAAATGATAGTCACTTCACTGGTTAAGACATTCCTTGCCTTTTATGGAGTCAAGAGGTTCAGCACTGTGCTCACAGGATCATACCATTAGACTTCATCCTGAGGCAATCAAATTCAGCCAAGACACTCATATTCTGTTATGTTATATTCTATCATATTAATTTTAATACAGTCCTTCCATCTATGTCTGTGTCTCACAAGTGATCTCTTTTCTTCATATTTTTCAAGTACAGTTCTGTAGGAATTATTATCTCCATACATGCTATATGTCTTGCCCATCCACCCTCATTGATTTGATGACTAATAGTATTTGGTAGACAATGTACATTATGAAATGGCTCATTATGTAATTTCTTCATCCTCCTGTTACTTCCCATCTTTTAAATCCAAATACTGTTCTCATGATCTCATTCTGAAACACTCATTCTGTGTTCTTTCAAGCCAGTATAAATAATTTTTGGCTTTAGTGTAGGGTTTTCTTTATGCAACCATTTAAAACATCTCTTACGTTATACTGAATTCTCAGAACTGATCATTTCTTTACTAGCAGCAAAAAAATGTCACTTGGTTTTCTCATACCGTATACACCTGACTGTTAGGATTGAACTTCACTGTAGTATTTTATCCCTGCATGTATAAAAGCATTACCTAATTCTTTTACTTATTAGAAGTTGTGTGTTGTGGGGATCAAAGCCAGTTTTACATCATATATTTGAGGAACATAATGCGCAGCTGTATTGTAGAACTGTTGTGTCCATAAGTGTTAAAATGTTAGAAGGAAGATAATAGTAATGATGGTGTTTTAATGTATTTAATTCTTTATTCTCATGTGATGTCAAACAGAGGTATACAGTATCAGTTTTCTCTACCAGGGTGCATTAATGATTCTATAGACTTGTGCCATGTTGATGTTTTGAATATCATTTTGTGGTATACCTTTAGGGCAACCATTTGTACAGTTTTTGGGTCCAAGATGAATCCTCATTATAACAGGACTCTGTTGTATTTAGATTCTACATGAAATCCTTATACATGGAGAATGTAATTTCTGTTGTGCAAATCACAAACATTAAGAATAACGTTATGATAGATAGGCCTTAGAGAAATATGTAGTGAGTGCAAAGATGGAACTAGCTCAGGTTTATGTCCAAATATTGCCTTTGATATTTTTGATGTTCAGCCTCTGAGTTCAACTTCCTAAGAGTTAGTATAGTTAGTATAATTTAAGTTATAGTAACTGTGTTATGACCACTTGTAAGTTCTTTCATTCATGCTCTGCCACCTCAATTTGTTCATATGTTTATGTAAATTATTTTAATTATTCTCATACTTTCTCAGGTATGGTATCCGCGTGGATCCTGAGCAGTGGCTTATTGTTTTGACAGGTCGTCATGAGGGAGGTGCTGATCACCCTTCTGTAGTACTCGTAATGTGTATGTAACTTTTATTTACTTTCTAAAACTCCTTTATGTACAGTGGTTTTGCCTGTTTATATAAGACGCTTGTATCAATGTGCACTTCCAGTGAAATAAAATATCTGATATAAGATATACCATATTGCTGAGATGGCATGTATGATGTATTGCATGTGTATTTTAATGCAACAATAAATATCACAGCCAATTAGAAAGTAACATTTTACTATCCATTAAAGTTTTAATTAAATCCAAGCTGTGGATTGTAATTTGCATATTATGTACTATTACATCTACAAGTGAAATCATGTATTGTTTTGTGTAATTTCCCTAATTTAAAGTGATGTAATTGCAGTGTAAAGAATCAATACATATTATTGGTCAGGTAGCCATATTTTCTTTGTTTGACATCCATATAGCTTCTTTCATCATTACATTCTTATAACATTTTTAAGCCCATAATGCCTTTTATATTTCAATCAGTTTTTGTCATGTTGGGTGGGGTGAGTAAAGATCTTTAAGTCTTTTCTATATGTGATGGCCTCTCAGTCCAGGCATACTCAACCAGAAACTGAAGGATCTTTCAAAAATAATATGAGCATCATTTTATTAAGGTCTTGGTTAACAAGGTCCATATTGCTTCATCCTTGCACATGTGAATGTCCCCAGATTTTACATGTTGGAATGGTTGACTTGTTGATACATTTGTGGAATTTACAGGGCTTTCTTATGTTTAAGGGGTATCTAAATTCAAGCCCAGGGATCTCTGAGAGCTGGGTGTTGTGTGTAAATGTGTATCCATCAGCTCAGTATGGCTTCTTATTGGAATGATAAATTGACTTGCTTTAAAACCATTGCTAATGGAATATGTCAGTATCTTAGGGTAAACTGATGCTGTGTAAAGCAATACATATATATGCATTTTGTGATGAAAAGTGTGTTGCACACATGCTTCTTTTTATGTGTGTGCATGGGCTAAGTTATTGCCATTGCAAAATTTTGTATTACCATAGCAATAAATTGTTGAATGTTAACAGTCGCAGACAAGCACGCAGTCTTGTATCATGTCTATGCTGATAGCATTTTGATGTGGATATGTGATGTGTGGTATACCTTTATAAGAGACAGTTTACGATTGACAATTTGTGCCTGTTATTCATGGGAGACGGCATTAAACATTGGCTGCAATGCATCATTCAGTAACATGGACTGAAAAGGAATACAGGAAAAAGCAGGAGAAGTTTATATCATGATAGCTTATTTAACTAATGATGAGGCTTTGTGTTAAATTCTCAGCCAGTGTTACATTAGTTTTATGTAAGATTGAGTCAAGAGTTTTGTCATAATAATATCTATATTTTATAACAGACAAACACTGTTATAGCAGAACCTGGAGATTTGGCATGACTAAAATGCAGTCCTGTCATTGGACAGGATTCAGAACCCCATTAATATCCGATCCTCACATCCTGTTCCTTGATTCATCTGATTCACCTGAGTTAATAAATTGGGACAAGACCACTGCACTTAAGGTTTGCAAACCTCTTTAAACTTCAGTGCATCATAGCAGCTCCATTTATATATCTGTCGGTCGTTTGAATTTTACATGTAATTTCTTTATAACTTTAAAGTACATATCATATATGTAACTGTTTGTGCCACAAGTGCTTTATTGTAATAACTTCAGATAGCAGGTGTAGTTCTGACATGATAGTTACATTTGCTGCCCTGCCTACTTACATGCATCATGACACATATGCAGGTATTGTTATTTTTCATGATCCTCGAAAAGTGATGAACTCTATTCTGCATTTTTCTTAAGTATGACTTTGTGGCATGTTGTTATTCATTGCATCTGCTAGTTCACATAGAATTATGTTGAATGAAAGAGGAGAGATTGTTTCTTGTTTTATTCTTCTGGCTTTTGTTCTCTGGGACCATAAGTTGATCAATGCTGTTTAAATTAAAAATAATTCAAGCATATCAAACAAATATATCTTATGTAAGTTCTTTGAACTTATAGTATTGTTGATTTGTTACACTTCATTAACATTAACAATTATCAGAAAGTTACTTGTCACCATCTGTGCTGTGAGTCATAAGCCACCATCACTGCATATGCTAATAACAAATACTTTGTTAGATTTGAGGTGCTCACAGCACTGACTGTGAAGAGTAAAATGTTTGGAATGTAACACTTTGTAGTCTGATGGAAATTTACTGATGTTTCAGAGGACTGTATTGCCTCTCAAAGAGCAAACCAAGCAAGAAGCAGTTAGCAGGCTCTGCTTGCCACCTGCTTGCTGGTTACTTGAATAATTGTTAATGGTAATATATTGAAAAACTTCACGGAAATGCAAGTAACTAAGTCCATGGAGCTGAGTAGTTCTTGAGAATTTACCAGTTACTTGGCTACCCAAGGATTCCTAAGTACTTTATCTAACCCAAAGGTTCTTTACTGTGTCACAAGAGCCCACCACTGGTCCACATCGTGAGTCAGATGAATCCAGCCCATATCATTGCATCCTATTTCTTTAAGATCCATTTTAATATTATTCTACCACCTATGTCTAGGCCTTTCTAGTGGTATCTTTCATTCTGGCTTTCCTACCCACAGCCTGTATGCATGGCTGCCCCATGCATGCTATATGCCCTACCTGTCTCATCCTCCTTGACTTGATAATTGCAATTATATTTTGTGATGAGTACAAGTTATGAAGCTCCTCATTATGTAGTTTTCTCCAGCCTCCTGTTAATTCAATTCTTGGTTTAAAATGAAAGTGAGCATACAGGAAACACTTTTTATTTCATGGAAATATGTTAAATACAAATTGTGTGATGTTCTTCTGTCTGATTTCTGTGAACTATTTACAAATAACTAAAAACCAAATATATTGTGAGCACTTTTTTCAAATATAAATATTTGTTATGATAGTCATCAAAGAGCCTGCAGTTCTTTGTGGTAACATGAGGAACTGTTTGAAAAGGTTATTTATAACGGTTTTATAAAGTTCTGCTACTTGCACATTTTGCATGAGAAATCAGTCCTGTTTAAGAGAGTGTATTGTTGAAAGGATTGAAGGTTTGAAGTAAGGGGTGGAACTTATTTGATCTTGCCTCAAATAGAAGTAAGCAGGATGCATCACTGTGGAACAGTTACAAGAAGGCCCGTATAACTGATTGATAATGTAATACGGAAACATACTAGACAGCATTATGTTCTTATTATAGTGTGGGACAAATTGCTGTATGTTTTCTCAGTATTCTGTGAAAAAGAATATGTATTCTATATACAGTTTAATATTTTTATGCATATTACAGATTCTGTGGTTCCTGTTGTGCTGTGTCTTCTAATAGAAAAAGGCCTATCTGTTGTAAGTTTGTTGAATTTTATGTGATTTTGTTACACAGAAACTTGAATGATGTAAACATATAGTAATTATAATTCACTTTTTCACCAGGAAATAATTGGCTACATTCCTGGTATGATAGCCCATATTGTCAATCTGCTGGTGTTGGTGATGATTCCAATGGTGGTGATTCATATCAAGTCATCAGGCTTCAGTTTAAGTAAGTAAGAAAAAGTAATGCCTAATGAAATATCAAGATTATAGATTAGGACTTACATGAAAATTTGAAAGATTTGAATATTTTAGATTTCTTCCTACTCTTCTAACAACAATGGAAAATTATTGTTTTATACAAACTAACATTAGCAAAGCCTTTTATATGTGTCTTTTTAATAAATACTACAATATAATCAAGTAACTCATTGGCTGGCTATGAATTTATTTAAGCTGTCTAAACTTCTTGATGCACTTCTCAACCTTCTTATATGGAGGACTTTGTAATTCACATACAACAGACAGAGAAACACTTATTTCACACGGTTTTGCACCTCTTATATTGAGAAGGAAATAATTTATGTAATTTTCTCTGTATATGATTTCTTTTTTATTTAATCATGGGCTAAGAGGTATGAAAATAACTATACCAGGATTGTTGTCAAGCTTTGCAGGGATAATATTGCAAGTACTAACACACCATTAGTTATAGCAATAAAACAGATTCTTTGTTATGAATACATGGATCTTTCATCCTGCTATGGTACTCTTATTTTCTAACTCTAAATTAAAAATAAATGCCCTTCAGTACTGAGTGAAGAAGGAATGAGAGAAGGGGGAGATTGTGCAACTAGCAAGTATGTGACTTGTCTTAAATATTGAAGGATTTATGAGCTACATAATTTTTATTTTATAAATCATTATTTGGATACCATTTTTAATAATTATGACTTGAATATATCTGCTGCAAAATTCTGGAGGTGGCCATGTTCATTATATACAAATAATATTAAAAACCAAGTCTGATGGGATCTTCCTTGAGATATTGATGGTTATTTGCTGTTAAGGAAACCTCACCACAGAAGCCATGTCTAGGGCCTATTAAAGAGAATGATGTAGTTAATTGTACATTGTGTGATAGATTGAATGACTGGCAGTGGACTGAGTCTGCCCTCAAGCTACTTGGGATGCTCTGTAATATGTTTGAATACATTATTTGAAACCATTAGTCATATATTCTCCTGTTGCTTGTATGGCTGCTGTAATAGCTGTATAACTTTATATGATGTCCTGATGACACATTATTTTGCAGTTGGTGCTACGTCAGTATGCATGACATATTCCATCCTCTTCTTAAAATTGTGGTCCTACATTCAAGTGAACCTATGGTGCCGGAACAGGCGACAGAGCATGGCCAAGCCACATCTTAGAAGACAGAGTCTTTCCTTTCATCACAAGAGTAAGCTGATTATCTTCTGTGTGGGCTCTATTAAGAATTATTATGAATTATAAAAAAGAGGGAGCAGTGATTCATAATTTGTATGTGTTTGACTTAAAAATATTTTCATGACAACAGGTTATATTCCACACTGGGATATAAACTCCACCACACGAAGAACAAGATAATTCCTACAAGGGCGTGGGAAATGTAAATGTGTAATCAACTGATACACAAATGCAATGTAATTTTACTGCTGTGAATACTGACTGCAGTGAGATCTTTGCTATTCTTGGCTGTGTGAGACATCAGCTTAATTATATTAAATGTATAGCAGTCTTGTATTAGTAACAAGGCATTTAATAGTTTTCTGCTATAACTAATGCAAAGATATTGAAGATTGAGGAATGGTTGCATTAATTTTGTTTTCAAATATTCTCACATTATGTTGTTTGTCATTTATACATGTTTGCACATAAACATACGATGTTTAGTGCTCAGTTCCTGCTGTTATTATTTTGAGATGGTAATATTGGTACAATTTTTAATTCTCCAGTATAATTTGTATCATTCAGTGATTTTATTTTCTAACAGGAGTAGAAAGATTCATTGAAATGCACGTTTTCTAAGAGTGGATACTATTTTGCATATCTCACTGACCTATATGTTTATATATTGCAGTTGAATGTCTAATGTTGCAAAACTAACGATTCTGCAGATACCATGCAGTGGCTGCAATTATTTTTTCCTTTTATTTCATTACATATTCACTGTATTAAAGAGAAGTTTTGAATGAAAAATTCAGATGTTGACCCATCCACCTGCTGAGTAATTAGTGCTCAGATATACGCTGTGTATTGACTTCTTTTTATAGTTTTTTCTCAATAGATAACTCAGGAAAGAATTCAGTTAATAATGCACTAACCCTCGCCTTATACTATGAAGTTCGGTAATTCTTATGGAAGCCATTTGTGCTGTCCCTATAATGGCTAAGGTCAGGTAATGTGATGCAGGATTCCCCTGGTGCTAAATTTTAGCTATTTTAAAGCATACTCTGAATGGCATGCATGGACAACAGGTAAGACTGGATATGTAGTTCATAACGTTTGTGCTAGGTGGAAGTACATACCCAGCAAGTTTGAACATATTCTGTATAAGCCACTCCTGTAATGATACTAGCATAGCAAGGATGCCATATGGGGGTGCCTGCAATGTAATGGATTCAGTAGCTTAAAGGTTACTGAAATGTGTAATATATGTCTCTCTCTCTCTCTCAAACAAACGCATGCGTGCGCGCGCGCACACACAGAGTGAGTCATTTTTAAGAAAAGTGATAGATCTGATTCAAAATTTAATGTAAAGTATGAGTTACATTTGACCAGTGGAAGCCAAAATTAAATTTATGTGAACAATTATATGGTACACTTCAATGTCAAATTTCATCAGAATCCATTTAGTGATTTCAGGAATTAAACAGATGCCTGTGAATTGTTCATCATGCTTCAGCTGGTAGCTAGCAGTACTCAGCTGCTGCTAATAAATACAGTCAACTCTCGATTATCCGGGGGCGGATTAACCGGTTTGCGGCTTAACCGGGGCTTTTTTTTTTTAAGTTTATATGTTGTTTAATATTCATTCACTTTTGTTTCACATGGTGAGTTTAACACTATTTTCGCACTAGTGTGAACCGAGCTCTGCATTATTTCGTCCCGTTATGCGAACACAATGTTCTAGGGTGGGGGTGAAAGAATGCAAGAATTTTTGGAAAGTTTCAAGGACAAATACACCGCCCCAGGTTATTTAACGGTACCATCTCAGTGTGAGAGTGCATTGTGAAAGTAAGTATCAGTTTCTTAATATAGATCTTCAAGTGCGTTAGCAAAATGTCGGGGTTTAAAAGGAAGCGTGTTGTGTTAAGTATTCAACAGAAACTTGAAATTATCAATCAGCTGGAAAAAGGAGCTGTAGTTAAACAATTAGCAATGCAATACGGTATTGGAGAACAAACTGTTCGTGATTTGAAAAAACAAAAGAATGAGTTAATTTCCTTTGCTTCGTCTTCTAATTCAAGCGGAATGAAGAAGAGAAAAACCATGAAGAAATCAACATACGATGATCTCGACAAAGCGATGCTGACCTGGTTTAATCAACTAAGGGCACAGGGAACAACAATAACAGGACCAGTTTGTGCTAAACAAGCTAAATATTTTTTCGAAGCACTTGAACTAGAAGGGAGTTTTGACGCTTCTTCCGGTTGGCTAACACGTTTCAAGCAGCGTCATGGAATACGAGAAATCAGTATTCAAGGTGAGAAATTGTCAGGGGACTTGTCAGCATCAGATCAATTTTGCACCAATTTTGATAGTTTTGTGAAAAGTGAAAATCTGCTGCCAGAACAAATCTATAATGCCGATGAAACGGGTCTTTATTGGAAATGCTTGCCAACCAGAACATTGGCATTTCAAAATGAAAGACAGGCTCCAGGTCACAAATCCAGTAAGGAGAGATTGACAGTCTTGTGCTGTTCTAATGCATCAGGAACACACAAACTAATACCAGTAGTTATCGGCAAAGCGAAAAGACCACGCTCTTTTAAAGGAACAGTAGCTTCAAGTCTGCCTATCCATTATTTTAACCAGAAAGTAGCTTGGATGAATAGAGCGATATTTAAAGAATGGTTTGATTTTAAATTCGTGCCTCAAGTTCGTGACCATCTAAAATCCCAAGGCCTACCTGAGAAAGCTGTGCTCCTCATTGACAATGCGCCCTCACATCCTAACGAAAGTCTCCTGAGGTCAGATGATGGAAATATTTTTGTGAAATATTTTCCCGCTAATGTTACCGCACTTATCCAACCAATGGATCAAGGAGTTATCTCAAGTATGAAGAGAATCTACAGATCAAATTTGCTACAAAAGTACATCGATGAAGGCAATGATCTGACGTGTTTCTGGAAGTCCTTTTCAGTATTAGATGCCATATACGAGATTTCAACAGCGTGGGATACAGTAAAGCCATCTGTATTGAAAAATTCATGGAAGAAACTGATGCCTTTCATCACTAATGAAGATGACGAAATCCATGGATTCACTGGATTCAGTGAAAATGAGATAGCCATAAAATTGACAAAAGTGGCTAACCAAGTTCATGGTGGTGAAGAAGTCAACGAGGAAAATATAAGAGAGTGGTTTAACTGTGACTCGTGTGAACCGGGCTTCGAAATGTTAAGCAGTGACGAAATCGTAACTTCAATGGGGGTGCAGCCAGAAGAGCGGGAAGAAAGTGAGAATGAGGAAGAGGTGGACAGTGTTGCCAGTAAGAAAGTATCACATGGTGCTGCGCTTAATCATTTGGAATCCTTACTAGACTATCTTGAGAGTGAAGAGGACAGTTTATTAAGTGACAAGCTAATATTACGTAGGCTTCGTACGGATATCCGTAAAAAGGAAAATGCCGCGAAAAAGCAAAAGACAGTATTAAATTATTTTAAGTGTTAAGTGTGACCGTAAAAAGTGCTGGATGTTGTTGAACAGTGATTGAAATAACTAATTCATACTGAGTGTAATGTAAAGAAAGTATTAAATAGGCCATGAGATGACATAGAAATGAGGATGAATAAATTTAAATACAGGTAGGTCTATAGTATTATGAAGGTATTAAAAGGTAAAAGGTAAAGTTGTTCCTCTGCTCAACGAATTAAGCCCTACGCCATTAAGGCGTGTGGGGGAGTGGATGTATAGATCCAAATTTTCTTGACCTCGGCACTAGTTGGAGGTGAGTGGTCAGCTTCACGCCCCGGCCGCTTTACCCCCGGGGAAAGAGCCCCCGGTACCCATTGGATAGGAGGTTGGATGGACCCCAGAGCCGGTCTGGACGATTTGGAGAAGTTAAAATTCTTGACCCTACCGGGACTCGAACTCCGACCCTTCACAGTCATCCAGCCCGTATAATAAAATTTGGCTTAACCGGGTTTTCGATTAACCGTGACTTCCATCCCCACCATTAGCCCGGATAATCGAGAGTTGACTGTATAAAGAAGTCGTTAAAATTACATTAGAACTTGGGATTCTTGCATGAAGAGGTTTTATACATACTGTGACATGACACCTGAAAGAAGGAATGGCGGAGCCCGAGGGCAAGCAGGAATTTACCTGACCAACAACCGTTAGATAGTTGTGAATCAACAGTTGCAGCTGGTGGTTGCCTAAGAGCATAGAAGCAGAGGAATCTTCGTTGTTAGCAGTGACCAGTGAAGACAGAGTAAACTGAGAAGATTTTGTGTTTGCTATAGTGATTTTTAGTGTGTAGATTAGCAAGAATGATATAGTTATTTGTAGCTACAAGTCGTAAGCATTCAGTAAATTCAGTCACTAACATGATGGTATGCTGTTAGTATAATTGATTTAAACTTTATTGATCTTGGATGACCATGGCAGTGCTGCATGTAGTCAGTCTGGCTGACTTAGGATTGCAGTAGCTAATACTGTTACCCTCACATCAGAATTTGGCTACTGACATCATAGTATATATTGTGACGTATTTGCGCTATGCAGGACCCCCCCCCCTCCAGCAGTGACGTAACAGCATCGGAGCAACTACCGCTGCTATGGTAACAGGCCAGTCAACACTCCGTCCCCCTCCCCCGCAGTGATGTAACAGGGGACACCGTGGTTACTACACAGCTATAAACAACTATCGGCAGCTACACCTGTAAACACGGCATTTACGCAACAGTGAAGCGATGTGGGTTTTCTGCTGTCCAACTGAGGGTTTATAAGAGTTACAAGAGAGAAGAGTAACCGGTCATTTGCAGTCTAGCATTCACCGGAGAGTGTGTGATCAGGAGTGACACAGTGTGGATCATGAAGTTGCTGAGAGCAGTAATTGTGATACTGCAGATGGCAGTACTTGTGAAATTGTGAATTGTGTAATTGTAAGAGCGAGTGGAATAAATTCGCTATTTTCAATATGGCATGAAGTTATTTGTCACGTTATACACCCAACACATGACAATACATATATATAGTAATATATGTCAATTTTGTGAACTTGTGCAGCATTGTTATTATCCATAAATACTGAGAGGCACTTTTACTTTATATACAAATCCCTATTTATATAATGGTTCTAATCCATTAAATTCATATTTGAAGGTATATCAGATGATGTTACAAATGGATCAGTAGACCATGAAGAAAAGAAAACTGAAGCTAGTTTAGTCCATTATCCAGATAATCTGAATCTAAAGGATATTTTCTACTATATGCTTGCACCTACTCTGTGCTATGAATTGAACTTCCCTAGAACAAACAGGATTCGTAAGAGGTAACAGTCACATTATTTTTGAATGGATATATTGTTAGTTTGTTAAGAACAACTTTGTAGTTCACATAAAATAGAAATTGTATGGTAGAGTGTAGAGACCTACAGACATGATTTTATCTGTGGAGCAAACATGAAGTTTTTGCCTTGATGCTGTACATCTGTTTGTTCTTAAATGAACAGACACTGTAGTCAGTCTTGCTTGTTTTACACTTTAATATTGGTGTTCATATATATTCAGCATATGTTTAATATCTTCATATTCATTGAAATCCTTATACAAAATATTTTTGAAGTATTATTTTCATTGACAGGTTTCTGGCAAAGAGAATTGTAGAAGTGGTAGTTGGATTTCAAGTGGTGATGTGCCTATTTCAACAGTGGATTATTCCATCAGTGAAAAATTCACTTATACCATTTTCGGTTAGTAAATAGACAAATTCTCTTTGTTTTATTACTGTACATGCACATACCATTGACTGTAATGCACTTGGAGTTATTGGGTTTCTTACTTTATCCATTGTCTGATATTCTGAAGAACACTAAGGATGCAACATTTCAGAAAGTGGAACTGTTTCTGTCCTCAGGTGAAGGGGTGGAAGATACTCACTCTTTTGGGTTCATTAGAAAGAACTAATCTCAATCAAGAGACAACCTGTGTCAGTATAAATACAGCTGTCTAAACACCTGAGATCACTACAAATATTATGTTTCTGGACAATACCCATCATCCTGTTTTTATTTAAAAACACAATTTTGCACAGGCTGGATTCTGTCTCTGTCTTCAGGTAAAACCTACTCAGTTGGACCCAAATGAAATAGTTTCCAATTCATCTAAATTTCTCATAAATACCTGGATACTTACAGTGCCCTGGTATACTGTATCTGAAGAAGGATGATTGCTTATTGATGAATTCATTATGGAGTCAACACATTATTTTGGGTATTCATTAAGTGTCAGATCATGTCTTATGTTCTACAAAGATAAAAACAACACCGTCCAGTGTGACTATTTAAGTTTTATCACTTGAAAACTCATCACCCTTACATGTTTCGATCCCTAAGGATCATCCTCAGAGGTCATCAATACTTTTTCCAGGAACTACTATTACAATAAGTGTTAAATTATATACATATATATATAATGTCTGAAATACACAATGTGCACAATGTTCAACTTCTCACGGTCACAGCAGCCTTCCTGGTATTCAAATTCTTAACCCTTTGACGTGGTCATTTAAATTCCGCGGCCGCGGCTCCTGCGGTAATATATTCAGCCGGCCATTTAAATTTTGCTCGAAAATTATTTATTCATCATTGTTCTTAAATTCTATGAGATAGGAACATGAAACTTTCACTAAAATGATCTTAAAAGGTGGTTTTATAACCTTACCTTATAATATGAACCCCCTTTATATCTTCAATGGAAGCAGGTTGTTTAGTATTTGAGCAGTGAATGGTACGCTTTGAAGGATGAAACTTTCACTAAAATGATCTTAAAAGATGGTTTTATAACCTTGCCTTATAATATGAGCACCCGGTATCTCGGCTATGTAAGCAGGTGACGCCTTGAAGCATTAGTCTAAACACAGCGCTGGCTCACATTCACCAAACCAATACTGCGTATCTTTACTTTTGCTTTTTTTTTTCTAACCACACTTCTGTGCGGCCCTGCCTTCTTCCCCGTGGGGGGAATACAAGTGGAAATGTCCCTCCGTGAGTCGTATATTTTGACAGATTAGCTGCAGTAAATTCAACCTTTGTGTTATCATAAGAAGGGTTTGGTGCTTCTGCGTTTCAGATTCCAACCTTTTCGGCTCCCCAGATGTCGTAGGGGTGACCACAGAATTCATGAATTTATTATAAGAACTGGCTGGTATATAGAGGAAGAAAGCAGAGCTTAGCTGGCTCAAAAAAAATAGTTATGGTCATCCCTCGAAACGACCACCAAGGTCAGTACGATAAAATGGCGTCAACTGGAGCGATAATGAGTACTTTTCCCTCCCCCACACACATCCGTATCGTCTCAGGGGGTGACCACAGTGTTCTGCCTTAAATTGTGGCGTTTTTCTCAGAACTGGGCCTTTGTACTGTGCGAAATCAATGGATCATGCGAGAATAAATTTCTGGACAACCCTATTCTAAGAATTCCAGTTGAGTGTGTCAATGTGGCCAGCTCAGGGCAATATGATATCATATACAACAGTAAACATCACGTCTCTTCTGTTTATATCTTCAAAGCAAAGAAAACACGCTTTCATAACAGTACAGCTAGAAACCGCTCGCCAGAACCACAGGAACTTTGCTGCAAGACAGGCATATGTAACGATGACTTGGCGCAGATAAAGTCGTGTCTTATTTATACTCTGTTCTACTGACAACAGGCCAGCGAAAAATCTAACAATCTACAGCAAAACCATCAATTATTATGGGCGTTATAACATAGGTGTGCAGCTGAACGAAACATACACGTCGAACCCCCCCAGACGATTTAAATCCCTGATGAAACATACACGACGAACCACGGCAACGGGTTAAAGATTTTGTTTTTTTTTTTAGAAACTTTGTAGTTTAAGATTAAAATTTATAAACCATGCAGGTTCGTGTCAATTTTCCTATTGTCTTTCTTGGAGGTGGCTGATCTTGTGCCACCTGTCTATCTTGTGAAAGGAGATTCTTAGTATTGTCCGTGTTTATTCATGGCTTGCTGTGTTGTTTACACATATGTGTATGTATATAATTTAACACCTATTTTAATAGTAGTTTCCGGAAAAAGTATTGATGTCCTCTGAGGATGATCCTTAGGGATCGAAACATGTAAGGGTGGTGAGTTTTCAAGTGATAAAACTTAAATAGTCACACTGGACGATGTTGTTTTTGTCTTTATAATTGTTAGTGTGACGGACCAGAATGAAACAAATCTTATGTTCTAATTTCATTGTTGAAATCCTGGCACTGGCATATGACCTTAGCTCAGCTGCTCAACCTGTGAACAACTCCTCTTTTTAAATAGTGATATGGGTGTTTGGACTTGAAGTGCAGTTAACAACCAATATGAGTAGGTTTCCAGAACACTTTCATGGCCAGTTGTCTTCTTCAGTTACAATATACGAGAGCACTGTCATTCCATATGTTAAGGGTATTTCTGAAAAATTCAGATGCATTGGAGACCATTTCAATATCAGGACCATTTTCGAAACTAAACATACACTTCATGGGACATTGAAGAATACTGGGCTGGTTAGAGATGCCCAGCAGACGAAGCAGTGTGTGTACAACATCCCATGTGATTGTTGCAGATGTTATATCGGTGAAACAAGCAGACGTTCAGAAGTACGTATTGAGGAGCATAAATATTACCTAACACAGGGTCTTCTTGAAAAATCAAAATTAGCCTAACACACATGAAGAAGGCCACGAAATATGTTGGAATGAAGCAAATGTCTTGCAGAGTGAACAAAACATCACATACAGGAAATAGAAGGAAATCGACCCACATGTCTCTGATAGACCATTTGATCGGTCAACCCAGCTGAGACATATCTCCCATCTGGACTCCCCTTATCACAGCAGAAGTAAAAAAGACTGCAGCTCCAACCATTGTAGATTGGGTGGGAAAATTCATGTTTTTTTATGTTGGTACCATACAGAGAATTTGTTTCTCCAGTGTTGACGTCTGTTCTGATAGTTATTTGTGCAAGGCCTTATATGTGTGGAGCTTTTAATATTTTATTGTTTTATCTTAGCTCTTGCAGATGATTTATGCTGTTCTTGGCTTGTATAGCCTGTGGTATAGGTACCTAGAGACAGGAGCTAACTCTGTTGATGGGGCCAGACGAAGTATGTTTTACCTGAAGACAGACTGAATCCAGTCTCCGAAATGTTACAGTTTATGAGTCTTCTCTATCAGTTTGTGATCTGTTGTGTCCCTCCTGGTTGCTGGCTTTATCATAAAAGACACAATGCTAGGTTTCAGGCTCTGATAACAGGGACTTTTCTGTCAGCTTACATGCTGTCTGTATATCGCTTTGTTATGGATTGATGAGAAAACAGTGTCTTGACTGTTGTGCATGTATGTGACCAGTGGGGATTGGTGGTGGTGGTTGTTGTTGTTGTGTGTATATGTGGCTATCAGGTATTGATGCCTCATGTTACCTAGCAATCAGTGTCTCTGTGTCATATCTCTGATTTTTAGATTCTGACTTTTAGGCATTATGTCACAATAGCACAGTCATATATTTCTTTGTACAAAAAGGAAAATAGGCTAGAAATGACAAGAAAATTGAAACCACATGTAGGAGTTCAAGCCTTAAGTCGTCATGCAAATTACTTCCTTTTTTAAACTTTTAAAGTGCCTTATTTTCCATCAGTTATTTTTTAAAAATATGTCCAGAAACTATGAAATTGTAGGTAGTTCATTACCTTACCGTTTGTTCATAAAAATTTAATAACCGGCATCACATAAATTTTTGACAGGTAAAGGTGTTTAAAATTTTGCCCATTTAATCTGTTTCAGAATATGGATGTAGCAAAAGCAACAGAAAGACTACTGAAGCTTGCTGTAAGTAATTTAACTGTATATCTGTTTTGACTGATCTTTGTTGTTTTCATGCTCTTTATAACCTTAAGACACTTCTGTTGCAGATACCGAACCATTTAGTTTGGTTAATCTTTTTTTATTTGATGTTCCACTCGTTTTTAAACTTAGTTGGTGAGATGTTGCATTTTGCTGATCGAAACTTCTACTGTGATTGGTGGAATGCCAATAATATTGATAAGTTCTGGAGATCATGGAACATGCCTGTTCATCGTTGGGCTGTAAGGTAATAAAGAAGAGATGGTACTGAATATTTTAGAACTGATTTTGTAGATTCATTTTATATGGTTTCATATTAATGTTGATATGTAATTCTGGTTTCAGGCATTTATATATACCACTAGTTGAGATGGGTTATTCCAGGACTGCAGCGAGTGTTGCTGTTTTCTTTGTCAGTGCATTTTTTCATGAATACCTTGTCAGTGTACCTCTTAGAACATTCAAAACATGGGCATTCATGGGAATGATGGGACAGGCAAGTTATTTTAATACATGTAATATATATTCAGAGTTGTTCTGAATATATGTTTTATATTTATATCACAATTTGGTTCAAGAAAAATACCTACTGTCACTTTCCATCTCTTACAGATGAATAAAACTGTGTTGTGTTTAATGAATTTCTGTTAATTTTAATATTGAAATTACTTATTAGATTTACTGAGAAAATTTATTTCATCAGCTGTATTGAAGCTTGAAGTCTTTGTACTTCACATGCGTTCTTGAATTTCCTGTACCACTTCAAAATTAACTCTGGTTGCTTGAATGTTAAAGTGAACCTCAGCCTTTTTGTATTGCACTCTAAATCATGAATAAGGTGTTGCAGTTTTGCACCTACCATCTGTTAAGTACATGCCACACTACTTAGAGGTACATTCAGTTTTGGTTCCATCGTGAACACATGAATTGATATTTTTTATTAAAAAATATGTACTTTTTTATGTATGGTATGTAAATATCCACTGAAGCCTTATGATTTATTGCAATTTGTATTTCAGGTTCCACTCTCAATTTTTAGCAAATTTATGGAGAAGCGGTACGGGCCTCGTTGGGGCAACATTGTGGTGTGGGCCTCTCTTATACTTGGCCAACCTCTATGCATTATGATGTATTACCATGACTATGTCATCACGCACATAGGGGAAGATTTGATAGATCGATATGGTCATGTCTGAACAAATGCACACCAAGTACTTAGGATTATTCTGTAGAAATTTGAGACTTATTAGTGATACTCATCATTTTTTCTGGTCTTAACATAAATTTGTAATGATTTTAAAATTAATATTTTGATGGTATTAGAGTTGATAACTGCATATTATTTATCATAGTGGCTTCCATCTTATGAATAATAAATTCATTAGTAAATTTTATACTGCTGTGGTATACTTGTTGCTTCATGATAGAGTGTTGTGATAGGCAGAAGCTCTCTGACACACCACAGTAAGTCTGGAGGAGTATTGTTTAATATTACATTCCTTTTCAAAGATGTGGAGCAGCCTGATATGGTTTATCACATACATCATCACAAATTTCTGATATTTGTTTGTTAACGTTCCTATGATTGGTAAACATGTACATTATGCAAGGAATGAACTATTTCAATGACAGAAGACTTAGTGTGTGCCTACTTAAGGAAATAAATGCATAATATTTATAGTAATTGGAAGGCAGAATGTATGTCTGTTGATCAACTTTTAAATATTCTGAGGCTTCTTATAGTTTGCCAGGATGTGTGATGCCTTCACATGTATGATTAAAGCAGTCCTCATTTTGAATTGCTTGTAATACAGTGTTCTGACTGCCTTTCTGGTTTGTGTTATGAATTGACAGTAATCTTGCATTTATGATAATTATCTAAAATATGGTATGTTAAGTTGTATTTATAACTGTCATGTTTCAATTTATATACTGTAATATGTATTTGAGTACAGTTGTTGCTAGTTATTAGTAGTTACCAGTTTCAGAAGATGGTTCATTATACTTAATGATAGCTGAATTTGTAGAGTAAATGAAATGGATATACTGTTAAAATCACATTTTGCTAAAGAAGGTTCTGAATTTGTGTTTTCATAATTTTTGCTAGAGAAGGCATTCTTTGTTCTAATTGTATTAGCCCTTTAGGCCCAAATGAAATGGAAACTAACAGTTATGAAGATGCTGATTTGCTACAGCTCTTATAATTCTCAACCACATGAATATCTGGAAGAAACCTGTATCCTAACTATTTGATACAGAGACATGAACAAAAATCAGTGTCAGAGGACATACATCATGTAACCAATATATATGAAAATTATAATTGGTTCGTGCAGAGTGTAAGTAACAAGAATTAGTGCTCAGTTCAGAAGGTAGTAAAACTTTCCATTCTTTCTGACCTGATATTCTTTTGTACAGTAATTACTAAGAAAAACATTGTACGTACATAAGTATAGTTTCCAATATATTTCAGCCTTTTTTCATATGTAGGTTGTTTTACACCCCAGAACTGTACATGCCACAAAAAATTCACCATCATCACAAGTTGCTTTGCCCATAGGCCATGTTCCTACTGGCTGTGGGAAGGTCAGTGTGCTGTGCAACGTTCATGTAGACAGCATGGTGGGAATGTACAGAGAAATGTACACTGACAACACAGGGGCAATGGCATACCATAAAGATTGTACAAAATTATTACAGCAGCCCACAGTAAGTCCATGTGACAGATTCACTACTGGTTGTATGCATACATTAAAATGTTTTGGTGTGAAGCATGGTACACATCATCAGATTTGTGAGGTAGAAAGAAAGCTTTGTCAGTTTGCAGGTCCTACTCATACCACAGCTGATGGGCATCCATATAACCAGGGCTGCAATAAGCTAGGGCACTCCAGGGTGGCACCTTGGCATTTCTTTAAAACACACTAGTGTGACACAATCTTATTGTTTGTTTAATTTCCGGCGTTTGTTGTTGGAGTATCAGTTTCTGTAAGTGGTGCTTTGTACGAGCTGTTTGTCATTCAGTTCTGCATTTAAATTGTAAACCTATCATTAGGTATTTAGAATGGCTTCATGTCATGATTTATACCCAATTGTTTGAACCTGGAACTGCATTCTGGACTCCTGTGCACGTTTATTATCATGACATCTCTGCACATAGCGCATATGGGTGATGTAGTAGTCTTTGGTGATCAGGAATTTCATAGTATTCCCAAATGTCTCTGAAGTTTCCTTCTGTTGGTGGGGCATAAATGTTGGTCAGTACTTAGATCTTATTTGCCCTTCCATCACACACCCCTTAGGTTCTCTCATACCTGGGACACTCACCTTTCATCATCTTCAGGTGGTTTTGTGTGTGTGTATGTGTGTGTGGACTGTATGACAATTTATTCTCCTTTTATAGATGTCATCAGATGAAGGTGGTGAGGAGAAATAATTGTTCATATACAATTTATAGTACAGTTCTTCCATTTTTTTTACAAGTTGCTGTGTTGTGCCATAGGTGTGGCATCAATAGTGGTAAGCTCTAGTGTCTACTGAGATACACATATTGAAAGTACAACTCAGTTTGTAGAGCTTCATTCCTGAGCACCTATGTAACTGATATCCTGCCTGAGGACAACTTTCCCTTTGAAGGAGACATTGACATTGAAAAATGTATTCTGTGTTGGTACACTTCTGAAAATCTGAAATTCAGAATATCACCTACTTTTCTGTTTCCAGAATCAGTTCTTTTTTGGAGAATTCTTATCATTTATATGAAATGTAAATATTTTAGAATATACAAGAAAATGATACACCCAATTATTTGAGGAAACTTTGAATGATCTGTTCGTGGTCTGTTCATCCTTGGATCAGTAGTCCTAAATGGCGTCTTTAGTCATGACCCATCCAGATATCAAAGGCCAGGAAGCAGCAGTTCTGCATCTTCACATCATGTGTGCCAGAGGCACTGGATCTGTCCTGAGGGTTAGGTCTTGCTGAAACAGGAGTTCATGTCCTCTATAATTATAGGGAATTTGGGTTCAAGAAACATCATGAAAGAACTGAGTAACTGTGAATTTTCATTTAAATATAATACAGCTCTTTTAATCATTTTGTTCTCATGCAAACTTATTTGCACATGCTTTATCAGTGAAGACTTTGGCTCCCCATTGCAGTTTGTTACTCTCTCACTTGGCTGTCTTAATAATGTAATGTGTCTACAATTAGCTTTTCTTCAGAATCTGTATTAGGCTTCAATTCTTCTGTTATACCAGATTCTTCCAACTTATCAATATGAAGATGTTTACATGCTGTTTGTGAACTTGAAAGCAACTATCGGCAAGTTGCAACACTGACCACTCACCATTGCTGATAATTTATACTATTCATTGTACTTTCTTCATATGAAAGCTCACAGTTGGCGTTGCTGGTTGGAGGTTGTAGTGACATTGAACTTGTGAGGATGACTGAAATATTGAAGTTGAACACAACCTGCCATGAATCACTCCAGCAAAGGGAGACATTATCTTGTGTTATGTGCCAGTTGGAGGATAATTACACATGATCATCAGTTCTAAGAACAAAAGCCATCAGGTTTCTAAATAACATCTGGCTGGAAGCAGGGCAGTGAGACCTTGACCATAAGGAACTTGAGACAAAGCAGACCTAGAGTGTATAACAGGAAGCTGATCAATGATCTTGCAGAACTGCAGCTTACATTACACAGATAATATTGGAAAGCATTTGAACCAGCATTCTCAGGATTAAATTAACTTTTAGTGTAGTAACTATTTGGACTCAGAGGGTTAAGCTGTTCATATTTATATATTCATGATTTTATATAATATAATTTTGTCTTTAAATGAAAACTCTTATAGATTTCTCATAGTTATATACACATTTGTTGCCAGGATATTACCTAAACCTAGGCCACCACTGCTTCCTTCCGTCTCATCGTCTGTTGACATCTGCTCCACTCATTCAGCACTATATAGTTTGCATTACTGATAACATCATCAAATAAATTTCAAACATACAAACACATTTATACCTCAGAATTGCTAAAATTATTTTTCTTGCTTTGTCCATCATCCGGTATTCTAAGAAAACTAGAGCACGCAATGTTTCAGAAACAGATCTCTTTCCGTCTTCCCCTCTTATACACCATCGTCAGAACCCTTTAGAATCTACATTTGTACCTGTTTCTTTGTAGTAGGAAATTCTGATTAAAGACAGTGTTTAGCAGTGTGATGGATTTTTAATTTATGAGAATATTGGCTTTTGAAAGCTCTGAAAATGCAGGAATCGTATTTTCTATGTGAAAAGAAACTGCAAAGTGGAGGAGGAATCAATTTCAGTTCTCTAACAGTGTGCATTGTGAGAACTGTGCAAAGTTACCTGGGATACAGTGACATTTTTGCTGTATTACTGTTATAAAAGTTGTCAAATTACTTATATCATTCAAATGAAAAGTCTGAAGTGGCATATATATATATATGTGTGTGTAGCATAGGTATTCAAGGAGGAACGCTTAAAAAGCAGGTTGAGGTTTCGAACAGCACGTGTAGTTGAGATCAGTGAAAGCTTCATGGGCAGAATGTATGAAATTTAATTATCTTTTGTGGTAAGTGGTTTACACCCCTTCTGTAAGTAAAAGAAGAGGAGTATTTGGGATTTGGTATGTTAGGTTGCTAGTTCATGAAGGGTGTTAGTATTCAGTCTTGTTATATTTTAGCATTGTAATGAATTTAAATACTTTATAGTAGGATTCAAATGTAATGACAGATGGGTGATAATTTGTCTTACTGAGAGAGAAAAGCTACAGTCTTATGATATTGAGAAATCTTCTGGTTGAATTTGATTGTCATGCATTGAAATTCAGTGAAACCTGATTTGCAGAGGCCAGTTATTCTATTGCTTGAAGTTGCTTGAGCCACTATGCTACAAGCCAAAAGTTCATGGGTTTGATTCCTGATGAGGTCATTGGACTTTTCAATTGGCCTAATCCTTCCAGCTGCACTATGGCCCTGTAGTCGACTCAGCCCATAACAGAAATGAGTACCAGGAATCTTCCTAGCGATATAGGGTGACTGGCACATAAGGCTGACAAACTCCCTAGCATCTGTGAGCTGACTGTCTAGAAAATGTGGGAGCCTTCATGTCTCACAACCCTATGGGCCTCCATGACCTGTTACAGGGATAGCTTTGCCTTTTTTCTTTAAATAATTATAGACATTTTGAGGCTAGATTTCTAGATAAAATCTTAGCCTTTCGTTTTTAAAGCACAATAAACATCACTAGTGTGAAACAAACATGAACATTTGATTTATACTTATGCATGTACACAGACTTGTTGGTCTGCTGTCACGTTATGGCAGTCCTTGCTGTATATAAATATTGCGCACTGAACAGCCACCTGCTGTCTTGTTCGAATCCTACAGTAGGAGGACTATGTAATGGAAAATAATAAAAGATGAGTCTCTCTCATGAGCAATGCAGTGGGAGTAGTAAGATAGACATATATACTTGTAATATGTTGGAAGTTCAAATTGAAATCTGTCCACATGGGACAGTGAAGTGAATGTACCATATTCACTTTAGAATTTAAAAATGTTAATTAAACTACAAATGGAATTTTAACTATTCTTCAAATATAAGTAGAATGTGGCTCTGTGTAAGGAATAGAAGTGCACCTAGCAGTGAGCAATAATTTTAAAACAATACTGATACCTAATGAAAAGTAATGACAATCTAGTTTAGCCTATCAAATTTGTACAGTAGTTAGTTTTAGTAATATCAAATTAAAATAATGCTGCCCCAACTCAATGAAATAAGAGTACCTCAATATTCCTTTCACTGTTAATCCATGCATTTATAAAAACAAATTCCATCCAGTGCATTAAATTGCATGTACAAGTGGCACATATATTTTAATTGTTGTTACCTTGTTTATTTTATATGCTAATATAATGTAGTCTTGTAGTAAACCTCTTTGGTTTGGAAGTGAACAGAAAGAAAAGTGTATATTTTGTATTACAATTGCATGTTATGAGTTCTACAAAATGTTAAAATACTGACAGTTTTTTCTGTTAGAATAAAATTAAATTTATAAAAAAATAAAAGTATTTGGTTGTCTTTCAGTCCCCTTACTGTGNAGCTACTCACAAATTTCCCAGCATTTTATCGAACTCGAAGGTTCATTTTCGTGTTCACAAGAGCCCTCCACTGGTACCTATCCTGAGCCAGATCAATCCAATCCATCCCATCCTCTCTCTCTCTCTCTCTCTCTAAGATCCATTTTAATATTGTCCACCCACCTATGCCTTGGTCTTCCCAGTGGTCTCTCCTTCTGGCCTTCTGACCAATATCCCATATGCATTCCTTTTCTCCCTCATTCATGCTACATGCCCTGCCCATCTCATCCTCCTTGACTTGATCATTCTAATTATACTTGGTGAAGAGTACAAGTAACACATTTTGTAAATCATGAGGAATGGGTGGGGTGCAAGGGCCAAGAGGGCCCACCCCTTCTACATCCATTCATTCAGATCATGAGGAATTCTGTCAGTGGATGTTCTGTCAGCAAATCCTATCTCTCATCTTGTAGCATAGTCACTACTGATTGAGCTGTCTGAGCAAAAATGAAAGATTGTCATCCATAAGAATTAACAGTGTTTCATATGATATTATATTCCGAGTTCAAAATTGTTTAACAAGCTTTATTTCAGGAGTGGGATAACATTTTCTCCTTCCATTATTTGTGAAGGAAACCTGCTGTAACCATGCAGTGAAGAGGTTACACAACACTGAGAGGTCAGGCAAGAATGTTTTATGAATGAGACATGAGATGGGAATGGAGAGGAGGAAGTCAGATATTGTCATCCATGGATGCTGTGTAGTGTTTCAGAGGTTTTAGGTGTGGTATGCAGTTTGTATCCCACAACTGTCCCAACAGTGCGTAATGTCTGAAAAGTCAATAATTTTATTAATATAACATGGTCACAAAATTTTAGACCTTATGTTCTACCTGGTAATCAATGTCTTTCCTACACAGACTTTTTTAAACCGTTTAAATTTAAAGTGCTATCTTATAAATGTGCCTGTATCTTCCGTCAGTATTTTCAGTAAACATGTATGCATGTGTTTTCTCTACTAAAGGTGTGAGGTTTGAAGTTCTCACAGCAGATTAAGGCCGTCTGGTGTATGACGCCATGTAGTTTGATAGATGGGTATCAACGTTTCAGAGGAATAGTCGATGGTGATGGGGTTGTAGGAATTTTGAAAGAGAATCATGGAATATGTGAATGTAAAATTCCAGTTTTTGTTATTTAGGAACCAAATCTTCAGTCATCAGAGACAGTGATGGTGGGATTGTACATACACGTATATCTAAGACCCACAACTCAAAACTCTTCGTCACCCCCCCTCCCCCCACCAACTTTCTGGTAGCTGTTTTTACAGTAAATATTATCTCATTTTGATGGAATTGTCTCACGTCATGGAGAACATGTACTAGAACAGTTTCTTTGTATATGTTCTACTTGGGTAATACAATTAACGATTTATTACTAAATTTAAATGAAGTTCATACAAGGGCCGCACCTAGCTCAAGCGGTTAGTCGCTGGCTTAACACCGCGGCGGCCCAGGTATGGTCAAGTGGGATTTGTGGTGGACAGAGTGGCGCTGGAGCAGGTTTTCTCCAAGTACTTCGGTTTCCCCAGCCAATCTTCATTCCACCAGTTGCTCTAGAATCACCCTCACCTATCATCTGGGGCTGGTACAATAGGCCAGAAGTGGCCGCAGTACAAGGGACTTAGTCCCACCCCACTAGAAATAATAATAATAAAGAAAAAGTTCATACAATGATTTTCAAAACTATTTCTAAATGTTTAATTTGGACAATACAAAGAAAAACTCCGTGCCCACTAGTCCGCAAGTGAACTATACTGACCGAGCGACCGCCGCTTTTCGGCGAAGTTAGTGGCAACTTTGCCGGATAGGTTTCATGTGGTCGGAGTAACGGATCCCCATGGCTGTTAGTCTTGGTTTTCTAGACCGGAGCTGCTATTTTCATGAAATAGGTCCCAAATTATCCTCACAAGGCTGAGTGGACACCGTTACAGACCCACTACTTCTCAGAAAATCTGGTAGCGCCGGGAATCGAACTCGGAACCCCTGGATCTGTAGACAGGAACTCTGACCACTAGACGACATAGGCGGTCATTTGGACAATACAATTAAATTTTTGTTGTTAAATTTAAATAAAGTTGATACAATGATTTTCAAAGCTCTCAGTAATACAATGAAATAGTGATTCGTCCAATTATTTTTCTAACCATTCTGCACATCACGTAATAATTTTATTGAATGAAATTCAAATTCGATTAAAAAAGTGATCAAGATTCGTCATTACACAAAAAAAGCAAAAACTATTAAAACAATTTCTTCCAATTTTTTTTTCTAAGTATGAGAAAATATTTGCAAGACTTTAGTTAAAATTGGACCAATAAGGATACAGCTGTGAAAGTTACCTAAGTGCGCCCTTAATACATTACATTTTACAGATGATCAAATAACTCTGATGACTTTTATTTACTTAATTCATCTTATTTTATTTCTATCTAATTGAGTTTTATTCCTGTTTAGCACTTCCTCCCTCTTCTTATATTATCCAATTTCCCTTCATATGCCTTCTGCATATCTGCCAGTTCTCTGTGCCACCGCCTTCTGTTGGTCCACCATCTCCGGTCTGGGCTCCATGCTTAGTTTGTTTTTCTACTCTGTGGATGGAAGCAGTACATGCCTTCGAAAGGCTGGTAACGCTCTGCCAGACTGCATGGCATTATATCCTAAGTAAGAGTAGGGCATAATCTAGCAAGTAACACATCGTAAATCTCGTGTACTTTAGAATGATTGTATCAAAGTTGGATAAATAAACCGGCTGGCGATGACCATTGCGTTGTACAAATATCCGACGGACGTCACGCGACGTAACATGAGAAGTTCACGTTTATGCCACGAGAGGGCAATATCGGAAAACTCATATTCTATAGCACAGGTGGGTAAATACGACACTCGCCAGCACATCACGTTGTGAAGTGGACAGAAGGAGCAGTGCGGAGCGCGTGGGGCATATGGAGTGTCAGAAAGCTTCAAGGCGCCTGAGGCACATACTGCAATGTGCAGACCAATTGGACGTAGCCTCGCAGGACCTCGCACATCTCCCAGGGGTCAAGAAATTGCTAGCACCACGAGCTCATGAACGAAGTCGGGTACTACAGACCCTCCTACCGGTTATATGTACAGTCGTAGTGTTTGCACTGTATTGTTACTACAATCACCAAGGAAAGAATGGAAGGCAGCAGTCGCTAGCCGGTCACTATGACGACGTGGTAAGTACACATACAGTGCTGTTGTTATGTTAACTTGAGATTGATCAGTCCGAGTAATTACAACTTCTTTAAAAGTCCATCACAAAATGCGAGGCATAAAATTGGGCCGCTCTATGTCGAGGCAGTAGAAGCAGCGTATTTATAATTTGTATATAATGATAAGCTGAGAGACACTTTAAGGAAATTAGATTTTGCTTATGCAATAACGCTACAAATTGGTCTGTAACATATTACATAAAGAATATTTTAGAAGGGCGAGACATACCACGCTTGAGGGAATTGAAATCTATATACAGAGTTTTAGTCCGAAAACATGATAGGAACAGAATTATTTTAATATTTATGTTTATAGAAAGGCGATAGAAATATGTAAGATTATAAAAAATGGCAACAAGCATTCCTCGAATTTAACGTCCTTAACTTAATTAATATTCATTGCTGATTTGTTACTGATATTCCCAACTACCACAATTTTATTACAGTTTCGAGACATTTACAAGTATTCACTGCCTTTCCAGTACGTATTTGTACTCCCTGCTGGTGAGAAGACGCGCAGGCGCTTTGTGAGATTTCAAATCATGCTACTCGTTCTGAGGTGATGGGTTCTTAGA